ATAAACTAAATTCGATTATCAAGTTAAAATTGTCATCACTATCAAGATAATCATACGAGATTATAATGAGGTTAGAACATATGTATGTAGTAATGAGAATAGTAGGGTTGGCTTGAGTGGGATTTTGGTCCCAACTCCCAAGGGGGAAGTCCAAAACTTGACTTTCCTTTTCTCAATTTTCCTTTGTTACCTTTTTTTTTCTCTTACGAGAGGACGTGTCTTCGACCGTTGGATTTCTTTTGTTAAACGGGCCTTCAATGCTAATGAATGTGGACTTCTGGTCCATACAAGCCTGGCCTGAGATCCAATGGGCCCCCTCCTCTCTCACAAGTCATATTCGTCTTTTTTTTTTTCTTCCATACCTTAATTTGCACAAGGAGGAAATGAGAAAAGGACATAAACACTGGTTTTTTGCAGGCTCTCCTTATTTAATTTCTTAAGGTTCCTGAAAATTTTACTTATGCTCCTGGATTTCTGAATATACTTTCAAATAAATGGGCATTTATATTCTATGTGTGCAACTCGAGTTCTTTGAACCAATTGGTTTTTGACATGGTATTAGAATCATTGATGACAGTGAGATCTATAATATTGGAATTCCGATGACACTCATTTGTAAAGCATACGGTATTCGGATATGTGCAATCTTCAAACCCAAATGAATTTATTTTCATTTGAATGATGCGCTAGTAAATTATAGAAGATTCATATTTAAATCTCTCTCAACAATTCGAATTCCTGGAACAAACCAATTTCTGACAATTTGTATTTCAAACAATAATCACCCGAGCAAGATTCTTGATCCCAAATATGAAAATTCCCGATTACCAACAGAAAAATATGTTGATATTTTGTATCTTAATGCCTAAAACAGTGCAGGGAAAATTCTTATAGAATCAGTGCCAAGGAGAACCAACCTCCAGGGGATTAAAATCAGTAAAAAAAGATAGGCCTAATACCAGAAAAGGGCCCGTAGTTTAGAGTTTGGGTCATTTGCACCCCTAGGTTTATACCGCGTCACTTATGTCCCCAAGTATATAGTCCGCATGCTAATTATGTCCTCACTCGTTTCGTTGACTGTTAGACTTGACGGTCAACCTAACGGCGGTCAACCCTTATTTGACTTTTATACCACATGTCAGCCACATCATACACACGTGGCATTTATATATTTATAAAAAATTATTATCTCAATTAAATCAGAAATATTTTTTCAAACATTAAAAAATCATTCCACTTATGCACCAAAATAAAATCCTTTGCTCAATCGGGGTATGTTTTCTCCTCCACCTACTCGACTCCTTAATCTCCTTCCGATCACCCTGCCGACAGAAGTCACCGTCTCCACCACTACTCCTACTGCCAATCTCCCTCCCACCACCGCCAACACCTATCTCCTTTCTCGCATCTCTCCTCTCCAGAGATAGCATCAAAGAAGAACCCCCTACCCCCACAAAGGCGGCCGCTCTCTGGCCACAAAACTAAATCTGATCTGCGAGCTCGAAGGCTCCCCTGGCGGCACCAAATCCCTGATCGAATTCAACAAGCCCTAGATCTGATCCGCCATATCGACGACTCAACAAATCGCCAACCTGATATGAAAATAAATGGCGGTTTCATCCACCAGATACATCACGAATTCCCGCCGAATGCAGGAGCTATTGGGGATTTGGCTCGGAAGCTCTGCTGGTGACCGGATTCATACTTGCCACCATCTTCTGGCATCTTGACAACTCGCCGAAAGGGATCTAAGAGCGGCTCGGATTCTTCGCCTTCGCAATGTCGGTGACGCACGACTCAGGGAAAGGAAATTCAAATCGGCGAGAATTTTGGGACGGGTGGTGGTGGTGGGTTTCAAAATCTATTGGATTCCTTACCCTCGGCATCAGCTCCGACGTTGATGAGGCTGTCGTCAAAGCTCTCTTCCAGCAGAGATGGCGGTGAGCGTGCCCAGCGATGGCGCTATTTGGGGAAGGAGGAGACAGTGACGATGGTTAGATTAGGGTAGAGATCGGGTTAGGTTAGGATTTCATTTTTATTTTGTTAACTTTTTATTAAAAATATACAATTTAATTTTGTAGTATTAATTTTTTATTTATTTTATATTAAGTGGTGTGCAAAAAAATATCACATAATATGCCACATCATCGGTCAAAACTTTGATTGTTGACAACTAACGGTCAAAGTTAACGGAAAGAAAAAATAAGGACATAAGTGACGCGGTATAAACCTAGGGGTACAAATGACTCAAACCCTAAACTACGGGCCCTTTTCTGGTATTAGGCCAAAAAGATATTCTTGAGAATAAAAAGGGTATCTTGAGAATAGATGCTTAGGGATGATTGATTCTTGTTGATAGGCTTTGCTGCGCCGACACAATTAAGAACAATAACAAAACACATAGCCTCCTTCTACATGTACAATTTGCATAATCACATCCTTAGTTATGCTTCCTTCCAATCCTATTGCGCTAATGTAGGCCGATCCGTTTCGTGCTAAATGATCGCCGGTTTGAGTCTTGACGATAACTTGTAATATCTCCTGATACGAATTCGCGTCGTACGAGCAGTTCAATACTACCAACAAACGATGAACACCGAGGCCAAATCAAGGTGAATAGTATAATCGTCTGATTGCTTCTAATGACAATGGCCGTGGTCATGCATACATCACGTAATCAAACTCCCCCACATCATAGCCAAAAAGTCATTGCTCATTAGAACCAAACAAAATGGGCTTTATTAGAATAATAATCCCATTAAAGGGCAGTGTAATTAATGAAATCATAATAACATGGAGGGATTGGGCAAAGGCAATTTAGCTTAGCTAGAAGTGGGCAACTCAGCAAGTCAATAGACGTGTAAGTGAGGAATATAATTGGTCGCGTCTCCTAATCCTCCTATTAGCAAGGAGATTAGTGCTTTGGAAAAAAGGGTTAGGTCAAATATTGGTGAGGGGGCTTTGATGATAGTGATACGTTTAGGTGGGGATAAGCTCGATTAAGAACATTTTTTTTAAGATTTGTTAACGCTAAATGATTCCCCTAATATAGAATTAGTGGGTGGCTCTCCTTATTGTTTGTTGGGATTGAATGAATGGATTGTGAGAAACTACAAAAGTTGGTCTTGATTGTTATGGAATTCATCAAGCCTTTCATTCGATAAGAGCATTTGATAATGTATTATATATTTATGGATTACTAGATTTGCGAAACCTATATGCGAAGCGTTTTGATGTTGTCTATCGTATAGGCGTGCTTAAGCACACCTTTTGAACCCATGACCAACTCCAACTGTATAGTTCCTTACAAAGTTAAAAAGTGGGTTGTAAGTCTACTTCAATCGCCTAAGTTGCACCGTTTTAATTACGATATGATAACTTCAACCAAAAAATGAAGCGTCAATCATGATCGAAAGAAAGATATACAAATACTATAGAGTGTCGTGTCACCATCAAGTTATTCATACTAGTCAATGTCGTTTAAATTCTCAACACTAACTTAATTTTCATGGAGGGAAGTAACGTGGAAACAATGTCTGGATTGGAGAAGTCCATTCTTACTTTTCAACGTGAATCTGAACGGAAGGCTAACAAAACATCATTAGGAAGTGTTTGGAAAGTAGTTCCTTAGAAACAAGATAAATGTGGCCACCTATGACGGCTCTGTTTCATTGCCGTGTTTTTTTTCTTTCTTTCTAGTCCAAGTAAACGTTAATCAAATTATTCATCCAATTTTTTTCTATTCATATTTCCACTGGAGTAATATAGGGATAATAAGTTCGATCCGTATATTGTGCCGACATGATCTACTGTTGGATCTGACAAAAATTTAAAACGTAAAATTATGTGATTTGAGTTTTCAACGCATCCAATTATCATTACTGTTTATAATCAAATTGTTAATAATAATGGGATGTGAATACATTAAAAAATTTTGCAATCGTCATTGATAATATTGGTAATTTTGTAATAATGGGTTGGAAATTTAAATGTACTTCTCTTGCAAACCTTTTGAAACCTAAAAAAAAAAAAAAGGAATTCAAGGCCTTTATAGTGATAGGGCCCCCAAAACAACAATGGGCCTTTATTAGTGTTCAAGGCCTTTGATTAGGGGGTAATCATTGCCTAATCCAGCCTAAACAATAATGATTAAAAAAAACCAGTTGGGTTTAAGAGACAGAAAGTAGTGTAAGTTAACTGTACAAGTACAATTTTCAACATTAAGCTAATCCCATGTGCTAATCTTTTGGGTGGTCCAATTGCATCTTTCAACCTTAATCAATTTGCAACAACAACAGTAATCTAGCACAAAACCAAACAAGTGGGATCAAGAAAGCATCTAATGCCGGCGTTAAAGTTAGTATTAATTGATCAATTGAGATTAGTATAAGAGCTTTATGGACCGACTCCAACCAGCCAAAAAATAATAATAATAATAATAATAAGAAGGTTAATGACTGAACATGTTCCTCTACTTTAGTGGTTTTAACAAAGATATCGTTGAACCATTTTCCTTAACAAATACATCCCTTTATTAGCTTGACATTAACTAACCACTATTTGTGTGGCAAGGGCAAATGACTAAAGCTATGAAGAATATAGAATTTTCTTCTACCTATAATTTTCCACATAATAATATCTCCCTCGATCTATCTCTTATCGCATCTTAAGTTTGATTCATTTATTTTTTCCAACGTTTTTCTAATTTGGAGGATTCATTTTCTCCATTAATAGAATGCAGAAACAGGCAATGTTGAGTATGATGAATGTTATAATTACCCTATTATTATATTCTAATTCCTAAAATCTAAACAGTAAGATATGAAGAACCGATTCACAAAGAACCGATTCACACAGTATCATTAGTTGAGAATAATTTACTAATTGTCTTCAGATGTCAGATGAGGGTGGTAGTTTATGATAATCCAGAGCAAATCTGATAGTAACCCGCGAGCGTAATGACATGTGTTGCATATTATTCGAATCATGGGACTCTCTTTGACTGTTAAGAAATCCAAAGAATACATGGATGCAAATGTTTTATTGGTTCAATCGCTCCAAATACACCGAAAACGGTATTGGTTATGGTATCGGTTAATGTAGACCTGAGAAACGGGGTGGTGCATACAACATAATCTTCAATGCTAAACGAAAATGATGGCAGAGGAAGAAGAAAAAAATATATTGTGTTATGCCTTGACCAAAAAAAAAATGTTAAAAGGAGAAGGAAGAACAACCAAATGCCAGTGGAGCTGCCTGTCTGTCATCTCTGAGTGTTCTCTGTGTAAATTATTAGGGAGTGAATGGAGCAAAAACCACCACTGAATTGTGCCCACCAAACCCAAATGAATTGGAGATACCTGCAACCCAAGTAAATGAAAACAACCAGCACCTAATTAGTCATTAGAGATCCCTTACCAACATTGAATGCTTTCTTCTGATGCTGTTTCTTCAGGTAAAAGGAAAGTCTCACTTACCAACATTCACTTGATGCTGTTTCTTCACATTTGGGACTGTGTCGATCGTGACTTCAGGCTCCAAGTTCTGCAACATACAGTTTTTTTAACCATGTTCAGCAGTCACTTCTGTAAACATAAGATTGAACAAAGAGTGTTCCCTGGGTTTAGTGAAGCTTTACATCTTGGTTGATGGTTGGGTGCACCCATCCAGTTGTGATTGCCTTGATGGTTGCAATTGCTTCCAGCCCTCCTGCAGCTCCAAGCGCGTGCCCGATCATCGACTGCAACAACACACAGTCGAATGTTCATTCGTTGTTCATCGACTGTGCGAATTTTCTGATCGAATAACCTTTAACATGTGTGATGGTTGTTGTTGATCATACCTTAGTTCCATTCATCTTGATCTCGGATGTGTCCTTGAACACTTTCTTGATCGCATTCACCTCTGCCAAATCCCCTGCCAACGTTGATGTTGCATGTGCATTCACATAGTTCACCTGCGACGTTATACGCATCGATTCGAAGGGATTAAAAACGTAGTACGAGGTGATCCAACGGTGTCAGCTCGTGCAGGATTACTCAGAAGATTAGGTACATATATTATATGTATAGATACCTCTTCTGGAGAAACTTTAGCATCTTCCAAGCTCTTGGTAATACAAGAGGAAACTCCAAGGCCATCTTTCCTAGGATCAGTCATATGATGAGCATCACAGGTCACTGCACCACCCAAGTACTCTGCAATTATGTTGGCTCCCCTTTTCATCGCATGCTCCAAGCTCTCCATTACCTGAAAGTAAACCCAAAAAACAACATATTCATCAGATTAAACGAATATGATTTGAAGACAAATTATTTGCTGTTGACTGGAAGTCACGAGGTCTAAAAGAGAAGCATATGGTTTTGGGTTCGAGAGCGGGGGTGGTCCCTGATCCACGGTGAATGGACTTATATACATTAGTTTCACTATTCTGGGCTTGGTTTGTCTTGTTTTTTTTTTTCCTCTTCAAAAGATCACTCGTATTAACTAGAAAACAGTCAATTCTGGATTTGGTTTGTCACATTTATCTTTCCAGGATGGATTAAAATTAGTCCGTCGGTAAAAAATTCTATCTTAATTCAAATATGTAAAAATGGTCTTTCCTACCGGTGAATTAGCTAACATACAATCGTATTAGTGAACCACACGAAAACTTACCAGAACACCAGCGCCTTCGCCCATGACAAAGCCATCGCGGTCACTGTCCCAGGGCCGAGAAGCCTTATGCGGCTCGTCATTCCGGTGGGACAGCGCCCGACAAGCGATGAATCCGCCGATGCCGGCGGGAATGACGGCGGCCTCGGTGCCGCCGACGACCATGACGTCGGCCTCGCCTCTTCGGATGTGGTTGGCGGCGGCGTAGAAGCAGTAGTTGGCGGTTGCGCAGGCCGTGGAGATGGAGTAGTTTGGGCCCATCAGGCCCGTGTCGATGGCCAGCAGGGCCGAGCCCATGTTGCTGATGGAGTAAGGGATGAAGAACGGCGACATTTTCTTGAAGCCCTTTTGGACTAGGGCCTCCACTCCGCCACTAAACGCCGTTAGTCCTCCCATTCCCGTTCCCACCAGTACACCAATCCTCGTCCGGTCCATCTGCACGACAACCGTTTTTTCAAATTACTTACAGAACGTTACACCAAAGTTAACAAATTCGTTAGAGAAGGATGAATTTTTTATTTTTTTTTAGATAAGGGTGATATAGGTTAATTTTTTATTATTAGGTACTACTTAAGGGACTTGAACCTGAGACCTCCAGGTTCATGGCTAGTGGTATTACCACTAGACCAATCCCTTGTTCGTATGAATTGATAGACGAATATACATGAATTTAGGCGTCGGAGAATTAACAATAACGACGTTGAAATAGAAACACTACCTGAATGTCGGTTTAGAAATATTTGATAAGAAATTGAGGCGCAATTTGAAACTTGGATCATTTTTGGCACCTAAAATTTGAAATGTGGGCTTATATTATTCGTCACCCTCAGGTTTGTGGACCGGTTAAAATCATGGTTTGCAAACTACTAGTATATCATTCGATACAATTAGATTCAACTGCTAATGAACAAAAAAACGATTGGAAGACCATCATATGAAACAATAGTTAAAACCGGTAAAATGATTTCCTATCTTGTTCGTAATGTAACGTTTTATTCAAGTATTAGTGGAGATTTTATGTATATTGTCTTAATATACATTTTCCACCTTCTCTTACATAAACCAACATATAAAATGGTTGTACCATGATTGAACACATACTAAATCGATATAACGATATAGACCAACGTGCAATATTGGAAGCAACCAAGAAGACTTACAGTTTCGAGGACTTGGGAGCCGAGGCTGGCATCTTCCAGTGCCCTTTTGCCGGCGACGAGGCAGTACCGCCAGCAATCGTCCAGCCGGCGGTCGTTCTTGCCGTCGATGTACCCAACGGACGAGAAATCGCGAATCTGGCCGGCGAATCGTACGGTGAAATCCGAGGCGTCGAACCTGTCAATCAGGGTGATTCCGCTCTGCCCTTCTAGAAGCTTGTTGTAGAATGTGTCGACGTCGTTGCCGAAAACAGAGACACATCCCATCCCCGATATCACCACCCTCTTCTTCGGATCATTCTCCCTCTTCGGAGCCGAAACCGCCGGCGACGCCATCGCCCTCACCGTTCCCTTCGACTTGCGAGCTTTGTTCAACGAATCGAAACCCACATCAGTTACCACATTAAACTTCAAATGCAGGGGAAAAGGAACCATCTTTAGAAATGGTTGTCACATTTTGAACAGAGTAATTGAGGAGAATGAATTCTTAAGCAATAGGATTACCTGAAGAAGAGAGGAATGCAGGAGGGCTAGTGATAGAAGGGGACAATTGAATCGAGTCAATTGGGCGGAGGCCATTGAATTGGGTCAAAGAAGAAGCTCCGCCGGCGATTCCCCTGCTCTGAATCCCAACGCCGGAAGAGCAAGAACTAGAAGCGATGCTCGCCATTTTTGGGCGTGTTCACTAAAGCTGAAGCTCTGCCTGGTGGGTTCTTCTCTTGGCTCTCTTCTTGTGTGGGGAAGCGCGAGGGAAAATCTCTGGTATAAATAAAGGAGGGAAAATCTTTGGGGAAATCAGCAGGGGACAGGGCAACGTGGGAGTTAACAAGGGGGGGAAAATGAAAAGAATTTGGTGATGACAACATTGGAGAATCCGTCAGCGTGGAGGGAGGGGCAGAGATTAAACAATTGAGATACTGAAAATTAACAGCAGCGCCGGAGAAAACTCCGGCGGCGGGCGGTGAAAGCTGAAAAGGAGGGGAGGATGGAGGAAGACGAATAGAGAAATGGCTAAGGAGACATTGAGGCGTATTGTTGACATGGGGATTCTGAAAGTGCACGATCTTTGCATCCTTGCATTAATGCGCCCATGTGGCTTCACGATCTGTTTTGTTTTCTCGTCTTGGATTGGATGGGTGAGTGAGAAACAGAGAAAGGAAAGAATGCGGCCGAACCAGAGGAAAAAAAAAAAAATGGCGAAGGAGAAGAGTGGTGATAGAGTTGGGCTTTGACTAATTCGGCCCATTTGCTTATTTGGTTTCTTTTTTTTGTTTTGTTTGATTATTGTGTTAAGTTTGGATTTAAGTAGCACGGACGAAATTTACTGGGCCAAGCCATGGTTCTAATATTTCCTTGTAAGCCCATTCTAGCAAGCTCTCTGTCTGATCCAGCATCCAAGCCCACAAAAAGAAAAAGTGAAAGTAACAATTAAAAAAAAAAAAAAAAAACCTGCCGACACACGTGGGAGCCACACCGTCAAGCGTGCGGCCGGCCAACCAAACGCATCCAGCGAAATTCCATAATCCACATGCTCCACGGAGTGGCTTTCAGAAACGCGTCTTCTTACTCCTCTCTCTCTCTCTATTTTTTTTTTGCTTTTTCTATGATTTTTTTATGAACGGGCAATCACTTAGTAGTTAAGGAAAAATTAAAATTAAAAAAAAATACCAAAAGAAACGCAGAGCTGGTGTGAAGACTGAAGATTCTCTCTCATCAGAATCTTCTGCCCAACCCTCCGAATATCCTAGAACAGTAGACTTTCTAGTTTCTAGAATACTGTCCAGTCGATATTTTCAAGGATCGTTCGTATGGTAGACTTTTTCCAGAACAAAATGTAGCAATAATAATACCCGCTTATTACTCAGTCAATTATTTTCTTTGGTCAAAATTACTTATCAGTCTCTAGTGTTAAGATGATGTTAAGGTAGGCATATATATATAGTATTAAAGTATAAACACATTTCGTCAAGGATAAATTCGTCCAACTCAACTTTTGGAATAAGCTGTATTGTACGTTTTTGCATAATTTGTAGTGCGTGCTAACACTATAGATGTATAGCATCTTCATTAAGATTATCGAATCGAATATGCAACTAAAATTATTTTAAACAATCCAACACAGAATTGCCGAATGTATACGGTAAATTCAGATACCGTTAGAAAAAAAATAGCTCTTTAATTCTTTTTAGTGCAAAAAAATACCACTTAAAACAGGAAAAAAAGTGAAAAGCGGAGAAAACAGCATTAATTAAAGCAGCAGCGAGGGGGATTATCTGGAAAATAAAAAGTCATCCAACCAATCAGCGAACTCCAAATCAGCTCAACTCCCCTGCCCTCCCGTTACTGCCACGTTGCCCACGCGGTCCCCACTTCCCCATCCGCGTCTCGCTGTCGTCATCATCATCCTCTCCCTCCCTTTTTCTCCCTTAATTATAAAAATTCGCTCACCTACTAATTCCAAATTATTCCAAACTAAAATTACATTTAGCATAAATAAATCATTAAATTAAACTCCTAAACCCTTCCTTTTTCTCTCTTATGAATTCCCCAAACCTTTGACAAATCCACACGCAATCGCCATTTTTGCTTTTAATCCGCAAAAAAAAAGAAAGAAAAAAAAAAATCAGTCGCTTTCACTTTCCCGGAAATTTCCGCCTCGCTTAACTTCTCCCCTAATTTTCCTTCCCTTCCTTTATAACTCCACTCTCCTTCTCTTCTCCACTTTCACCATTCCAAATTCCCTGTTACTCGAATCACAGTAAACCCAGTTCGTGAAATCGGATTCGAATTTTCAGAGATGGACAACAATCAGCAATCGTCGTTCTGGCAGTTCAGCGACCAGCTGAGGGTGCAGGCCAACAACCTAGCGAACCTCTCGCTCAACGATTCGATCTGGAGCAGCTCCTACGCCAACAAGCGGCCGGAGCAGCGCCGGAACTTCGACATCCGGGTCGGAGCCGAGCTCAATAACAGCAATTCTCCTTCTCCTCCCATCGCCGCCGGCAAGCCCCAGGTAGGCTCCGATTGGAACGGATTCAACGACGGCTGGAAGGTCGGGTCGGGTTCGGTAACCGGGTCGAACACCAATTTTACCGGTTTGTTGAATAACAACAACCACCACTCCGTGATCGGCGGCGGCGGCGGGGGAAGTGGATCTCACCCGATGAACGTCGGCCTGAACGGCGGGTTCAACAAGGGGATCTACTCCAAGGGTGGATTGAACAACGGGGGTTTCAATTTTAATGTGAATCCGAGGGCCGGGAAGAACGGCAAGGGTTTTGGGATTGAAGATGAGCAGCAGAATCATCTCGTCGGCGGGAAGTTCGGCAAGAAGAACGGCGGAAAGAAGAACAACGACAGCAACGATACCGGGAAAGAAGGGAAAGATGGGAAACAGAATGGGGTTGACAAGAGGTTCAAGACTCTCCCGCCGGCAGAAGCTCTCCCCCGGAACGAGACGATCGGCGGGTATATCTTCGTCTGTAACAACGACACCATGGCTGAGAATCTCCGCCGGCAGCTCTTTGGTACTTTTGACTTTCCCCTCTTGCTTACCCTGTTGCCTATTTTAAAGTCTTAATTTTTCTCAACTCTGGAGACTGAATGGCGTGTTCTTTTTTTTGGTGGGTTAGGTTTGCCGCCGCGTTACAGGGACTCGGTGAGGGCGATTACGCCAGGATTGCCGCTTTTCCTCTACAACTACTCCACCCACCAGCTCCATGGAATTTTCGAGGTACCTTCCTTTCCGCCTTGTTCTCATGAGCTTAGCTTTAAATCCTCTTATGACGAGTGTGCCTCTTAGAATCCCTCAAGTCTCGTGAATAAGAACGAGTTAGGCTTCCCGTCAAGTTTGTGGGAAGGCTTAACTGCAATTGAATTACTTCATAATGATTATTTCAGACCCAATTTGGTGCTTTTTAGCCTTTTAGAAAGTTCGAACAAGAAATGGATGTCATAAGTGTGTTTACGCTGAGAGAAGTCGATCTATGTTTTACTTAGATTGAGTTTGGAGCTTGAAAGTTCATAACTTGATTGACTGAATGTTTGGATATTTGGGGTTGATGCAGGCAGCGAGTTTCGGAGGGTCGAACATCGATCCGTCAGCGTGGGAGGACAAGAAATGTGCAGGGGAATCAAGGTTCCCTGCACAGGTCAGAGTGGTAACCAGGAAAATCTGCGAGCCACTGGAAGAGGACTCATTCCGGCCGATTCTCCATCATTACGACGGCCCAAAGTTCCGCCTCGAGCTCAACGTGCCCGAGGCGCTCTCGCTTCTCGACATCTTTGGTGATCAGAAGGCCTGAACATAATACCAGCAACCTGATGAAGGAAGAAGTCCTGAAACAAGAGAATGGGAAATGGAAGGAGTTTTACTATAGAGGGTTAGTTGTTACAGGCAAATATGGACCATGGAAACAACTACAGTACATGACATGAAGAAGAAGAAGAATGGGAAGGATATTCTATACATAGATGAATATGTATACAGTTTATATATATGTGTAAGCCGTATTTCCATGTAACATATTTTTGGGATGTGAGGGCTTCCTCGACATATATATTCGTCCTTCTAGTTCGATGTTCATGTTGTTTTGGCACATATAAATAATCAAAAGAATATCTAATAAGAGCTCAAACTTGTGTTGATGATCACTGATCAGTTCTTCCTTCCCCATGTACTGCAGAATTTACTCACAGGAGCTTGCCCTTTCTAGGGCTCAATCTCTCTTTTGCAAGATCACTTTTTGTGGCTTTGCCTTCAAAAGTGAATGCTCGTAGATCACTCTTGAGTCTAGCTAAAGAGAAAGGTTTTAGCCTTTATTTTCATATAAAGGCTTTGCTTGCTCTATACGTCAACCTTTTAACATGTCTTGTTCATGTCACTTATCCATTTCCTTGCGATGAACGAAAAGCAGGGTGCCCTCTCTCTGTCTGTTTCTTCCTCTGTTCATTTTGCTTTCCACTTTCTAACCTACTCCACTGCAGCTTTAGTTTTTATCATCTAATTTAAGTGCTGCCAAAGCGGAATGGGACGAATAACGTAAACGAATGTGAAATGAGTGAAAGGTAAAGTGACAAGGTGTCACGAGATATACGCGCGCACGTAGAATTCGATGGACTCTTTTATGTATAGCTCCATCTACCTATATTATCATGTCGACGGCTTTGTGAGCAATATGTGCTTCGATTTTCATGAAGAGAAATCCATCGATTTTCATGCCTGTAGGGTTGCTTGATGACACGTAGCTTAGATGTTTCCTTGGCATCAAAATTCAACTTGTATCGCCCATAGAAATAGAGAGGTGAGGGACAAAGGCCAGATTCGACTTCTTCCGGGAGGGAATGAATGAAAGCAAGTGGCCTGGCAAAGGGGGATTGCTCTGTCATTTTCTTTGAACTATTATGCATATATGTCAAATTGTCAATCACACTTCACACCCCAACTTACAAAGAAAACAAAATTGGAATAGTTTCCAAGTGGTGCCTTAAAATTTGGTGGGACTTCTTCTTCTTCTTCTTCCTAACCCAATTCTTAAGCAACAAGAAGAAGAGACTCTGTTTCAATCCGATGGTGACAACTGACAGCCACCTTCCCAAACACCACACCCCCCCATTTGTCATCGTATGAATCGTTTCGTGGCTATATTCGAAAGAGAGGTCTATCTGTTAACTGATTATCATCGTATTAAGAGCTAGTTCATCTTAATGGCCTCAACTTATTCGAGATTCTAATCGACATTTCGATTTGGACTTTTCGAACTTAAAAATGACGGTTTAAAAAAGCTTTTTTCCCCCCTAAAGTGTGAATTGTGATGGTGGGGGCAAAAGGGTTGACCTGTGAGCTTGCAGATAATGTTGATTTCCCACATAGGAAAAGAAGAATTAGGGTGGCAGCAAATTATTAATGATGGGAGGACATGTGTTTGGTCGATAGGCTTATGTCCTGTCTTTGGATTCTTATCAGTTGATGATTTTAAAGGGTGGTCTGTTCTAGTCTCCACCACAGGTCTTTTCTTCTTCTCTTCCTCTACTAACTACCCACCGTTGCCAACGGGCTGATGGGATGGATTACGGTAAATCCAAAACCAAGGTTCCACCTGTTCTCCTTAATTTAATTGATGCATTGCCTTTGCCTCTCAACCACCACGACAGAACATTAGCTTTTTTGCTGTTGAAATGATTCCCTGTCTAGGTGACTCATTGCTAATGTTCGAGGTTAGGGAAGATCTATGGAAGATTGGGTTGGCTTCGTGATCTACGTTCTTGAAAGATCTAAAGGGTCTATTTATAGACAACTGATGAACACACTCTGTTTTTTTCGTTTTGGTCTTTCAGTACATTTTGTCAGTACTGAGGACTTTGGTTGTTGAGGAATTAGATCTAGTGCCATTGTAAATACATTTCCTTACAAAGCCTGTCTAGCATGGAGCTGGGTAAGCTTTAGATACAAGTTTTCCTTCCCGCCCAAAAAGAGATATAAAAAGTTCTTTTAAGACAAAATATGAAAATACAGAGAGAAGAGTATCTGGTTATTATGTCCCGGTAGGAGTTTAGGTTCAAAAGATGGTAATCAGCTGACAAAATTAAGCCAAACTTTTGAACCATTGGCGTGCAATGCATATTGCTCTTTTTGATCCTTCAGTAGTCCTGCATCTTCTTGACTGCTTCGTCTACGGCGTCCATGTTCTTCCTAAGGGTCGACCATTGCTCCTCTGTTAGACTTATACCTGGAGGTATAGGAACGATAAGAGTGAGATAATCATCTGTTCCAAGTGACTAGCATTTACCTATTGTAAAATGTCAGGGAGCAATCATCTAAAACCAATAGAAAGAAATGATCATGTTGTTCAGAGGAACCACAATTAGCAGTCATCTTGATCAAATTGAAAATGCCAGAAATCAACAAGTCTCAAATTAATAGAAAGAACTGATCATGTTCAAAGGAACCAATCACACATTAACAGATCTTACAACTACTAATTACTTTGTTAGAACACAGCCGACCAACGATCAGCAAGAAATTTAAACTTATGATGATGATTTCTTCATCATGGAAAAAAATCAGAAACCCAAGGGAAGGAGATGGGCATATCAACATTTCGGGAAGTATTCCTAGCGATGAACGGGGAAGAAAATTCACATCTATTCTTCATGAATTATACAAAGGAATTAGGAACCCAAACTTTAGTACCCTCGGATGGAAATGTTTCAATCCGTTGATAAGCAATACAAGTAACAGCGTCTTGAAATTTAGTTACGTCTTCCCATCCAAAGAGACAAGAAGTGAATCATATATAATTTCCACAGACCTCCGTCTTCTTATGCTTTTATGCATATACCACAAGGTAAGCTCCTCAACATTTTCTGAGAATTGTTCCAGTTCCACTCCACGAGAAGAAAGCACACTACCATAGTCACAATTCGTCTCCTTTCTATTGACTATTAACATTACTCCGCCATGAAACAATGAAAGTAGACCTTCTTCCATTGATACAACCAACAAACATCATAGCTAAAGCATTCAGCATCTCGACACAGGGTGATGAGCTTACCTTTAGCCGTTGGAAGCTCTTTCCCATCCTTACTGTAAAACTCCCTTATCGATACCAAGTTCCTTCCCCTGAAGTTCTGAATCGTCACCCTCCTCTTCGAAGTTAACTGCAACCACATAGATCCATCAAAACGAAACACTCTCAGGTCTCAACACAGAATCTAAGCACCCAAGTACCCAAGAGCAGAAAAAACAAGCTAACTTGGACAAACCAGAATGAACCCACAACAACAGTAAGAAAACGCGCCCAACTGAAGAAGCAAGCAGAACAAAAAGAAGAGACGAGATACCCTGCAAACGATGAGATCGCCATCATCGTCGTACTCCTTGCCATCTTTCCCACCTTTGTCCTCCTCCTCCTCCTCCTCCTCTTCTTCCTCCTCGGCAGCTGCTTCTTTCGCAGTTTGTTCCTCTAGAAACTTGTTGACGACGTGCCTGACGAAGGCCTTGTACTCGGGTTTATTGAGGTCGAGCCCCAGCACCTGGGACGCCCTCTTTCGAATCTGTGCCTCAGTCGTGGACGCCATGTCCGATTCTTCGATGATTTTCCGTACGCTCTTCTCGATATCAACCTTCGCTTTGGCATCCATTTATGGGCACTGATTGATTGACCGACTGACTGACCGACGCAAAACGCAGACAGCTAGAGCTAGAGAGAGAGAGATAACGGCAAATTTCGGCAGCTGATGTGCTTTTCTTCGTCTTCCCCAGTCGGGAAATTTTCCAGTCAGTAATCCGGTTTAGGGATTTGGAGGGGTTTCTTATTTTTCCCTCTTTCCGGGATTTTGCCGATTGCAGCAAACAGACAAGCGAGCTTTTTGTGCTGACGTCAGTTATGAATCGGGAGGATTTAAGACCCTGTCCCGCTGTCCGGACTCCGGACTACACGCTGCAATAAACGGGATGGGTATGGGCCGTATGGCCCAATTGGTCGAGTATATTTTATCTGGGCCTCAGCCTGTTTGGTTACAAAGTTCGTCGTTGAACAGACCACAAAGCCCATTAGATCAAGTATCCAAAGTCCACCAAGTGGAAAGCCCATTGAACCGATCACAAACACCGTGGAAGAAAAAGGAGGGAAAGCAACATTAGTACATTACTAACAGAGCTTGTTCACCATGATCACAATTCCTCTCCTTTCTGTTTAACATCCTCGCCATGAAACTATGAAAGTAGACCTTCTTCTTCCATTGATATAACCAACAAACATCATATACGTCGAAGCGAGCAAAAGAATAGTGCTGCAGAGTCACCAATTCCATCACAAACTTCGTTTCAGTCTCTCAACCTGCCCTCTTTTCTGTGTGTTCTCCATTGTGCTGTCAGGGCAAGCACCACCCAATTCGATGCAGTCCATCATTCAATCACGGCTTCAAGTCTTCAACTTCCTCGAGCCACCGCGACTTTTCTTGCTGCCCGCCGCGAGAGACACAGCAAGATTAACCCAGAAGTCAGAATCAAATGTCAGCAGCAGAACTGGCTTTGTCATTTCAAGCAGAACTGTGTAGATAGATCCTCAATCATCATACTACAAACACTTAAGCACATGATATGATCTATATCACAGTATTATAATCTTAGCTTCACAATCCAGCTAGGCCAAACCGCCAGCCAAGGGGGACTTCTTCTGAAAAGAGTATGAATCAAAGTTTCTCCTAAACGATTTTTTCCCCCACATTTCTTCTGTACTTTCACAAAAAAAAAAAAAAAAAAAAAAAAAATCGATTCTTTCTGCTAGAGTTTCAATCCTAATTAAGGTAGGAAATTCCTATAACTGGTACAGAATTGAACTACTAAAAGAACTGTAACCTTCCAGAGAATTTACCTAGTCTTCAATTCAGAAGACGCTGGAGGAGGAGGAGGAGGAGGACTAGAGACTATCCGTCGGCCGCCGCCGCCGCCGGAGACGACCTCATCCATAGATTGACCTTGGCGAGTGTAACGGCCGCCAGAAGCCACGAAACCAGGGCAAGGGCGATAAGCCTTGATTGGCCACCATCCAAACCCAGGAACCGCGGCAATCCCGCCTTGTATCCTTCCTTTCCCATTGCATCCCTTCTCCATTTCTTCCCTCCCACATCCCTCGCACCCTCTAAAACATTGATTTTGTGCACAAATAGAAACTGAATTAGATTTGTTTCCAAACTGGAATCCCTAGAAAGGGGGAAGGAGGACGATTGGGGTTTTTTTTTTTACCTGAGAGGAAGAGATTTGGAATCAGCACCTTGGAGAGGAGGAGACGCGGGAGAAGGCTCTTCTTCCAGAACCGAGTTTGAAGAAGAAGAAGAAGAAGAAGAAGAAAGAGGGAGGAAGGGTTTGGATGAGTAATGGATGAGGTTGGGAGAAAGGAGAGATTCGTGTGGTTGTTGAGTGTGGAACCATGTGGATTTGGGGCTGTGAAGATGAGGCGTCGGAACTGAGAGCAGAGTGAAGGCCATTATTCCTTCCTTTCACGCCGATGAAAGCTCCCTTGTTTGCTGAGCTCGTTTCCGGGGAGGTATAAACTGAAATGGCGGATGGCCCAAAACCTGTGACTGACAGCCACTAATCTTCCTGGCGATTCCCAACTTTGCTATCGAGCCAGCGTGGAACGGATTTGATGATGGAGACGAAGCGGAATGAAAAAATAAATGAAATTAAGAGGTTCCACCGAGATTTGAACTCGGGTTACTGGATTCAGAGTCCAATGTCCTGACCACTAGACCATGGAACCTTGTTGTTTCTTTACCGACTTTTAAAAACTCAATACTTGTTTATTCAAAACTTAAAAACATCATTCTCACAATCAACAAGGAAACCAATCTTGAATATGGATTCATCTGGTTTAGTTTTTAAACAGCACTAAATTGGCTAAGCATTTAGATCAAATCCAACTCTTCCACACCAATCATGATTTTGGCTTTCAGACTTTGAATCCCACACAATCACATTGTGTTTATTCTAAGATAGCCTCAATCATTGTAAAACAGGCTTCAAAGTGCAATCCCAAGCATTGGTGAACTTTTATCGCAATCGCCTGAAGCTCATACCAAAACAACTCGAATCCTTGGATATGTTCCTTCCAAAATGATATGACTTGTGAGCATAAGGGCCTAAGCCTTATCTAGGATGTCTGACTAACGAGCAACCGTCTCTATCTCCTCAGCCGCAATCTACAATCTGGACCACCAAATCTTTGCCCTAAATGAGAGCTCACGATAATTGTAATCCAACTCTAAACCTCTATGTACTAGTATGGAGCATAAGGCTTGAATCACGCACTTATGACGTCCAAAGCTCTCTCTTTATCCCAAGAAAGTCGACCTTAATTTGCGAAACTTGAACATCAACACAACCTAATCAGTAACTATCCATGCTCTGACTGGCATCAATGCATAACCTGATGTCTATTTCATTCATATACTATTTTGTTCAAGGTCATGCGTTGATTCTCGACGTACAAGGTGTTTCGTCACAATTACCAAAGAAACTTGACGTACAAGGTAACCATGTCTATCATTGGCCAACGCCATTCACCTTTATCCCCAAGAACATATCTTTTCCTTTCCAACTTGCATTTCTCAATAAGAAATCTTTACTATTAACACTTACTTGCACCTTGCACTCTCTCCAGTCCATACAATTAACTTACCCACTGAACTTAACCAAGAGGGGGAAAAAAGGGAAATCAAAGAAGAAACATCGGAGCCTTTTTCCCTTTAACCACAAATGAAAGACCAAAACTGGATTGGATAAAAAAGGACCTACCAATGACTTCTTCATTTACTGATCAATATTTCCTCCCCAAAACACAGAAACCCAAGAAAGAAATAATAGAAAGAAGAGTGAACAAGAACAACCAACCCCCTACCAATCACTAATAGAACTATTTATCCAGCTAATGTTAAATCTATCACTCCCCGCTATATTCCTTACCTTGCACTCATAACTTACGGATGCATAATCTGCTGGTCCACTGAGCTGTGATGATGCACCAGGTACCACCTCCCGTTGTGGAACTCAAACACATTCGTCACATTGAACGGCCCGGTCTCCATCTCAACATAGGTGTTCATTGTGACCCAGGCCATGTCGGTCAGGACCCGAACCCGCACGTCTCGTACCTGAAAGTCGACTCCTTGCTCCCAGTTGAATGCAAGCTGCCAGCTCTGTATCACAGCATTGTACCTAATGTGATGACACAACGAGTAGTCTTCCCAGTTTTAGCTATAGTAGTTCAATCAAACAGGAATGGATGTAGAAAGCTGATGAGGTAAGTTGGATTTCAAAACATGCCGAGAAGGCGATGGATCACTTTTTTGGTCAACACGCACAAAGAGATGAAAAATAGAACTATAGGAGCCAATAAGACACGCTGGTTAAGCGAATATCTAAAAAGATCACTGTATTAAGCCCATAACAGATCTACAAAGATCAGTCATGAACCGATTGAGAGTGAAGAAAGAGTTCCATCTAGTCATGTCCGTGTGTCATATAGGCACAATTTGGTAAAAAGCGGTTCTCCAATCGCAATAAGCACCATAAAACTAATTACGAGTTCCTACCTTAATTAGCTGCTTTAAAACTTAAAAAGGGTACTGATAGCTAAGAATCTAGATGCATTCACTCTGAACATCGCCATGACATATCTCAGTCACACTATGATCTATTAAGCAAACAAACAAAAATGAAGTGCAGATAGGACAAGCAAAAAGAGTCTTAGAATGTTAGTCAAGGAGAGAAATGCATCAAGCAAGCTCAAATTGATAATCTTACCCTGAGAAAAGTTTTCCTGATGCATGAATGCACTTCACATAATCTGCATTAAGCCAGAAAAGACTCATATCTTGGAGAGACCTTTCTCTGATGATGCTGAAGAACTCTGCATTCAGATTGACAATGGCTCTTGTAGCTGCGTAGTATGCTTTCCAACCATTAACAGGTGTGACACTATCTTGTTCCACTGTAAAATCCTAGAAGCAACCAAAACTTTTATTACGCGCATGAGAAATTAGAAACAACAACATTGATATTGCCAAGGCATAAAAATGAAGTCACATATTACTACAATTCCAAAACCTCATATAGCAATAATCAATGAAGGAAAAGAGATTCATCTAAATAGTAAAGGGAACCACAAAACGAAAAAATTAGAAAATTATATTTTCCTGCAAAGACAACTCCACAATAGAACACCCATAGTAGTACTTATAAGGAAGCTGCTGACCAAAATCAAGAGCATAGAGACACATCACGGCCAAAAAAGTGTCTGATTAGTACTGTTCTACTCTGGCATGCTTCTATACAGCTTTAGAAACCTAATGGACCCTCAAACTGTATCTACTAATTGTATCGTAGGTAAGAATATGCTTTAATTCTTTTGAATGCATACTGCCAGGATTCTGAGATACTGAAAAGTCTGATCCACAAGTTCACATAAAGAAGGTTTATCCATAAATACTCAAAATTTCCACTGCACCCACTCCTGAGTATGACATCCACAATGATTCTCTACAGCTACATAACACTAGATCTTCAAACACACATCCTAATCTTATGTTATCGAACTTAAGGAGAAGCCCAACTCTCTAGTTGATTTGATATTCGTTCTTCATCTTGAATGCTTGCTTCCCCACTAACCAAATTCACTCTGCAACTGCAGATTGACGAATCTAACAGCATAGTGCAACCATGAACAAAGACAGTTCAAAATAATGTTCATGCTAGAACGAAATACGAAGTAGACAAAGTAGCTGATAAGCTGAGAAGATGACAAAAGACGGCGCAAGGTTGCCAACACAATGAAACCTCATAACGTACCTTGTGATAAAGAGCTTTCCAAGCATTATCGTCATTTGCAGCCTTACGCATCAACGAATTAGTCATGGACAACCTACACAGACTCGGGTAATCCAAATAACTCAGAGCGTGCGTCGTGATCTCTGGAACCAGCTGCTCCATCATTGACGCCCCACACTGCCTCTCCACCGCCGCTTTCTCGCTAGCGGCCACCACCATTTCCCCCGTCGCTTCACCACCACCGTTTACGCACCCTCTAGAAGTGGCAGAGTCCGTATTTCCGACGGTTCCGTCACCGGAACAGCCAGAACCGCAGGGCATCGACGAAGAAGACGATACCGAAGGAGGGCGCAATTTGCTCGGCGTTTTCAATCGGAGAAGAGAGAGGACAGTCAGCAAGAGCGACAGCAGAGTGACGGAGGAGGCTATGAGGAAAGGTTGAGAAGAGAAAGCGATAATCTCCATTCATGAGACATGAAAGCGACTGCTTCACTGTTGATGACGCCGATGAACGGGAGCATGAAAAAAAACCCTAACCGAAACAGAGACAAGAAATTCGCTGTCGTCCTCAATCTGCTGTATGTTCTGCAGCCGATCTCCGGTGAAAGGAAAATTCAAGCGATGGTAGAGCTACCGATTTGCCGTTCTTTCGGAAGTTCGGAGACGGTTGATTGCAACCCTAAGCCGGTGGCGGAGGACGGAAAGAGGCGAATTCTCAAGCGAGCGAGACAGAGAACTGAGCAGCGCATTCGAACTCGCGTGAGTCAACTCGTTAACTGACTGACGCCCCACTCTCTAAAACTAGCGCGCGAGCGTGTGGCGGTTCGCCCACCGTAGCTGTTTCCACTTTCCAAATGCCGAGGATTTTTGTGTAACCTTATTTCAAAACAAATAAGGAAATATTAAAAAAAAAATTCAATGTTTATAACTTTCGAGTTTCGATTTTCTAAATCGTATGTTACAGACGGTCCGATCGGAGAGCGCCTAACGAAATTCTATTCGATATAGGATTATACTGACAAAGACGATCGACTCATTGCTCAAACTGCTAGAACTAGAGTCACCAAAAATCTCTAGAGTATGGATTAAGACGAAACCTGATATATGAATTTACAAAGGGAAAGGCATTAACTAACCTTTATATTACTAGATAATGAGGTGAGTTAATAAAACATAGATGCACGATTGAAACTATATTGTATTTGATTTAGTCAACCTTGACTCCATGATGAGGATTAACATCATCAAAGTTTTGGAGAATGTTTACCCTTGTTACGAACTTGCTAAGAAAATTGAAATTCCCTTCGATCTTGATTGAAAGTTCTTACATTTTGGTGTACATCAAATCAATGTATACAACATCTGAAACAATGACTTTTATACGACGTTATGAGCATAACCATGTCCCATTTTATTAAATAATGAATCAGAGTATATTATCGTCCGCTTTCTACCAAAAAATAGAACAATGTACTCAGGCATCAGAAATAGGATCACTTCAATATAAATGTGTACTGGAGACTGGAGTGTTGATAAAAGATCTGATATTTCTATTTCTTCTTTTCCTTTTCTATCATTTCGTGCATCTACAAAAGTTTCTGAAGACGTGTAATAGGTAGTTACAGTCTAACAATAACAAACAAGAACAAAAGGAAGCAGCAGTTCTACCGGAACAAGAGAAAGAATGCCGCCATAGGGAAGTTACAATGAACTTGTGTCTTCTCAGCAACATAACCCTAGCTAGATAAACAGCTAAAAATACCCACCCAAAACAGCAAAATGGAAGAAGCTAGATGAAGAAAATGGGGAAGCTAACTAGAGAGCAAGGTAATGAAGATGGTCATGCTGCTGCTAACCAGTATCATAACCCAGCCTCCTCCTCCTCCACCAGCCCTGCGAACTTTATTCGGCTGAGAGGAGGCTCCTAATAACTTGGACAATCTTGTTGATATTAGCTTGATAATGGCAAAACACATGAAGAAAAAGCTGACTATTAGCACGGCAAGCTCTTTGTTTTCCAGGCTCGCTTGATCGTTTGCCACCCTTTGAACATCATATCTGCAACCATTCAAAGCAGTTGAGAAAAAAAATGCCAAGGGCAAGGAAATTCGACAAGGAGAAGCCAGTTCAGAAGCATTGTTCAAGTAGATAGGTTATCATAATCACTGTGCTTTGTGTTCATAGAGGAAGGAGCCTGAACATCATCAATTGGGTTTAAACCAAATGCGATTCAGATTGGGAGCAGAGATCAATAGCCTGCATTAGACTGCTGTACGTGCAACCCAGATATAAAAGTTCCATTGATCTAGCAACTGTGTTAGACATTGATATGACCATTCTCAGTGAGCTTCATGAGTTATCTATAATGGTTAGCATAATGCAGCAAAAAACTTAGTGGTTTTGAGTTGCTGGTTGACCAAGTTGACCAAGTATAAGCTCTCTCAAAGTGTGCTTATCATTTTGGTAGTACAAGATGAGCCAGGACAATTGGACCAAACAGCCAAAGAAGCCATTCCAAAAGCTCTAGCTATGAGAAACATAAGGAGAAGTTGTAGATGGCATGAGATGGAGTAAATATCGTACCTTAGCATGTCATTTTCTCTGCCGAGTGCCTCCAAGCGACTAGAGACACCATCTTTCCATGACTCGAGTTCCCCAAGTCCTTTATCCTATCAATAACACAAGAAAATTAGGAGAGAGTTAGGTGATGAATTCCCCTCTCAAACAGTCACACTACAGGAACTTAAGTTTGAGATCCAAAACAAGTACCATCTCATCTTTCCATTTTGCAAGGTCGCTAAGTTCAGTTTTGCTGATCTCCACAAGCGAGGAAATTCTCGATATCTCGTTATCAAACTCGACCAAAACATCACCTTGCTTACGATTCATTTGCTTGATGTACTCCTCTAGTAAAGACAAATTCACCTCAAGTGACCTCATCTTCTGCACCAAGATTTTTAGAACAGTATCACTTGGTATCCTGTTGGATTGCATTTGTCTTACTTCACTCAAAGGATCAAGAATTTCACTCAAGGCTCCTCCGCTGGTATTCTTCACCCCATTTGCTTGACCATCATCACTGTTTTCCTTATTCCCTACTCCTGTACTATCACCTTCTTTTGAAACCATTGGTCCACTACTTCGCTTTTTCTCAGAAGGATTTGATTCTGATTTTGAAGATGGAGCTTCAATAGCGTTCAACTCTAGAGAATCACTCGGAGTAGATTCTTTAGTTGGAACCAAAAGATCTTTAAGCATTCGCTCGATTGCATCAACTCCATATACCTCGAAAACACTCAGCGTGCAGTAGAACTCCGATCCGTAGTGACTAAGCAAATTCAGCTTCAAGTACCTTGCCCATTTGGGCTCAGGCAACTTAAACTTCTGGACCTGCTTAACATTTGCAGCAGCAAACTTCCCTAGTGGAGTCCAAGTCTCAGTTGGATAATTCAAACTTCCAAACAAGACAAAATCCTTAAAATTAGAAGAGTAATGTTCGAAGTTTGCGATCTTCACAACATCAACCAAAGTCTCCTCTGAAAGCTCAATCACTACAAACTTCTCCCCGACAGAACAAGGGTTCCTCAAGTACTTGTCATGATCTTTTCCCAGTATGTTACCTGCTCCTTTGGCTTCCTTATTATATGCCACTGCTTTTGCACCCTTCATTGCAGAGGCAAAGTTGTACTCAGTCCCATCAGGCTCAAGCCGGTGGGTGATATTAGCAAGCTCATTGGGCACATTTGGTCCTTTGTCCTGCTTCGTGATGTTTCGAAATTCATCCAGATTGAGATAAGCACCAGAATGATGGGATTTCGCACCAGGCAGTTCATTTAAGTTACCTAATTCCAGTTCTTCTGGTTTTCTCAAACTACATACTAAAACCATATCTCCTAAAAAGCTCTTGAGCACCTCTTCTGTTCTATTTATGGTAGGAAGGGAGCACTTACAACTGCCGAAATCGAGATGAGCTGGGGCGTTATTATTGACACTACTATCAGAGAGATTAAGCTTTAACACCATTCCATCTGGACTGTAATTTCCTCTATACGGAACAGGTGAAATAGGACTAGGAACAGGTTTATTGTTGCCACCATCACCAGTCGAATTCCCTGCAAGATTATGGCAAAAATTGTTTACATTCGCACACCTAAATATGAAAGTGTCAGCCTGAAGAAGATCTCTCAACCTAAAGATGACGAATTGAAGCATAAAATGGACACAACCATCATCATCATCATCATCATCATGACGAATCAAACCAAATCATGCAATGAATTATATAACAGCACAAAGGGTTTGCAGGGCTCATCTGCATTTCCCTTCTTCACTTCCCTTCATCATTAACCAAGGCCATCACATTTTCTTCAGATTGGAAATCCAGAACAGACCAATGGCAACAGGAATCAATCATCAAGCAATTCCCCCTTTTAAGGGAATGTGGCAAATGAAAGAAGCACAGGACGGCGCACCTTCATTCTGGTGGCTGAGGCCAAGCCTGGTATAGAAGACAAGAGACCATAACAAGAGGATCAAAGACAAAGAAAGCTCGTACAAGCTTCGTCTACCTCTACCATTCCTGCCCTTCTTGTTTTTGCTACTGCTGTTCTCGCTGCTAATGTCGTCGTCGTCCTTTGAATCATCGCTTCTGCTTTCCCGGCACCTGGTTTGGTTCAACACTGAGAAGCTTCCGTTGCTGACGCCGCCGTCGTCTTTGTTGGTGCTGCTATTTCGCGGTTGTCTCTTCATGTCTCATTCATTCGACCCAATCGGAGAAGAGAAAATTCCTTCTCTTTTTTTCAATTGTCTTTTATTCAAAAAGATCAAAAAAAAAAAAACTCTGGAGTTTTGGCTCGACAGCTGAGGCTCCTCGGAGACTGTAAACGGAGAAAATGAAGGGAGGATGAATTGTATGTACAGATACGGTCGCCGGCGGAGGGGGGAACGACGGAGAAGGCGGAGGGAGACGGACGGAAAAGAGACGAAGGACGAGAGGAATGTTCTCAAACTAACTTGCCCGAAATCCATCTTTGTGGCGTTTGCTTCCGTAAACTAATTTCTACCGTTTACAGCTCCGTTTTTACCGGGTCGTTCTTTTTGACCATTTTACCTTACCTCTCTTCCTTTTCGCTCCCGTGTTACCCGCCACTTAAGGGGCAAAATCGTCCGAACGAGTTCTAAAAAGAAGGATGATACGATACATCACAATTCACATGTATGAAAATGAACAGCTTTTCTATTCTGCATTAGTTCTACAGTATCAGGACAGTTGATACTTTGATAAAATGACGGACAAAAAACCTATCTTTTCTGAAGCAGCAAAAACTTCATACAATACAACCCCACCATAGTTCAGGAACACGGCTGAGGGGGGCGAGTTTCATCGGTGTAATGCGATGCAGAAAAATGTGCAGTCACTGGACTTTGGTTTCTGATGGAGCTAGCAGAGCATAATCCTCCTCCAGCTCACGTTCTAGTTTCTTTTCCAAGAATGGGAGGCTACCTGGATTCTCCTCTTCCAGCAGAAGATTCAGCCGTGTTTGCGGAGGGTAATTGTCTAAGATGTACTCGATTGCATCCCCACTGATCTCCTTATGGTTAAGCAGAACCTGCAGATCGAAATAAAAGAAAACCCACCTTCATTTTCTTTCCTACCCAGGAGCAAGCAATAATGCTGCATTCCAAGGTTGGTTTCAGCAAAAACCTCAGCTGGCTAATTAGATCCATCTATACCTTAACGGCTTTCAGTAAAGCGGCATGGTGGCGCCTCAGCAGTGAGATTGTCCTGGCATACATATCGCGTATCAACTCCTCGGTCCTCTGCGCAACTTGATCATCCAAATTGAAGTTGATAGGGCGTTCGATAAGGTCATAGTCATCATAAAGTGAACCTTCAAAGTCCAATCGTGGTCCCACGAATCTGGATTTCTTTCTCCATGCTGGCGGTTCTCCGTGGATCACCATCGGGTTTTCCAAGTTCCATCTGTTGGTTGGTATATATGAAGGGTAATAAGTAGGAATGAAAGGACAGAAGAGTTGGAAAAATGAGAGTTGGGGGTAGAGATAGCACTAACATGGAAATTATCTTGCGAGCTAACCAGGATGCATCTGCAAGGTAAGAAACAGATGTCCTTGATGTATCTCTGCCATAAATGACCTCTTCGGCTGCCCTTCCCCCAAGAAGCACCTTCGCATTTTAACCAAACCTTGTTAAATGGCAAGAAAAAGAACCATGACAGTTGGAGTGAGAGATAATATCAGTATGGAACTAGGGGAAAGAAATTTGAATCACAGACCTGGAGTCGGTGCAGCAATTGTGGCCGCCGTTCAAATATATATGCTTCGTCATCAAGCCTATGAAACACAAGTTGTGATAATGTCTGCATGTACCATGCAAAAGAGTTTGTAACACAAGTTAGAGTATGAAACACACAGCATAATAAGGGCTACAGGAACTAAAACAAAAAGAGTCAGAAAGAGAAATGACCTGACCACGGGGGACAATTGAAATACGATCACAGAATTCAACTTGTGCATGCTCATATCGCCTGAGCAAATGAGCAGTTATTGCAACACCGACTTCAGTGGTAGCTCTACGGCATTGACCCTGGTGATCCAAATCTATTCCAACACGCTTTGGTCCAACAGTAAGTCGATCAACTGCTTCGTCCATGTCTGATTGGATAACTGATGTATGGCCTTGTCTGACTGCCACCAGAGCTGCCTCTTGTACCAGCTGAGCTAGCTTCGCTCCACTCCACCCTGGCAAAGGACCAACATATAATAAGATATCTCTCACCCTGAACAAGCAACTGTGTACAAACCACAAGAGAAAAAGGAAGAGAACCTACCAGGTAAGTTCTTGGCATAAGTAGTTAAATCAACGAACTCCGACATTTTCACTTTGCTCGAATGGATTTTCAAAATTTCCAATCTCCCTTTAGAATTTGGAGGACGAACTTTTATCTAAAAGGGAAGACAGAGTTAGTTACAAGTTGATGAAACGGTTGGCAAAACATAGGCATGAGAGCACAAAGGTACAGATTTGGGCAAATGGAAATGTCAATCCATCAATAGGTACTCACCAGAATCAAGCAAGCAGACAGAGATTAGTATATCTAACATGTGAAGTGTGAACCACATGCTTGTCATATTGAAACACATTCATCCCGGTGACATCAGGTTCACCACATTGTTATGGTTATTTCTTAGCAAAATTTCAATAGAAAGGGAGTGTAGGGGACACACCTTTCGATCAAACCGACCAGGCCGAAGAAGTGCTGGATCTAATAAGTCCCTCCGATTTGTAGCTCCCAAGAAAATCACCCCTTTGCCAGTGTCAAATCCATCAAGCTCTATCAACAGTTGGTTAAGAGTAGTTTCCCTCTCTTGAGTGGCAGCATTATAGAGGTGGTCACTGGACTCCTTAAAGATCCCTTGACGCCTGAACAGATGAAGCAAACACAGAACAAAGTCACACTCTTTTCTATCAAATCCAGATTAGAGAGTGACTTGAGACCATCCTGAGCATTTTGATGCTACATACTCAATGTCCACTTTTAGTGGATCATATTTGTTTGATAAAATCATAAAAGAAAATACGCTTCACTTGATGAGAAAGAATAGTCAACATTGCGAATCATCTCCATATGATATTCGCTTCCATTGCTTACAAAAATGGCTGTTGAAGTCAATAGTCTAATATTAATACTGTTAATACAGAAATTGTGTGCTAACGAACCCATCACACACGACCAATATACGCCAAGTAGAACTTAACATGGTTTATAGTGCCTATGTATGATTTCCACAGAGGTCAACAAAACCTGCCACTTTAACTAGATAAGTCAAAGAAGCACCCATACCTAGTTGCCAATGCATCGATTTCATCAATGAATATAACCGAGGGTTTATTTACCTGCAAAAGGTTCAAGAAAAAATGACTACCAGAAACAGACCACAATCACAGACATTTTATGGAAAATAAAGATTTTGCAATTGATAAAGTAAAGTTGGTAACATGCTTCAAACAACGCAGACGTTATATTTATTTACTCTATCCCTGCGACTGTGAGGCAATAAAGCATATGGTTCTCCCAAAGCATCAACTAGTGTAGAAACAAGAAACTCTATGTGGAGGAAAATGGAGTTGTGGCATTCCACATTAAACAATATAAAGAATGAAACAGCAAATAGGAACAAGTTCTCTTAGAACAAAACAGTCAAATGGGCAGAGTAATCACCTTGGCTCTCTTAAAAAGATCTCTGATACGAGCAGAACCAACACCAACTAAAACTTCAACAAATTCAGATCCAGCCATTTGGTAAAACGGAACACCAGCTTCACCAGCTATGGCCTTGGCAACTAGAGTCTGAAATGACATTGAATGAACTCACACTGGAAAACCTCGACATGCGGTAAAACTTCTTGTTTTAGCAGACAAATATGACTAACCTTCCCACATCCTGGAGGTCCTTCCAAAAGCACCCCATGTGGAGGCTTGATGCCCATTTTATCAAAAAGTTCTGGGTTCTTCAAGTATCTTACCAACTAACAGAACAATTGAGGAAGAACCAAGTAAGCTTTCATTGGGTTAGGTTTGAATCGCTCAGCTAAAACTTAATAGCTCTTTACTGAGTCACTTGAACTAGATTCAAATTGTTATCTATGCCATCATTGCCGACTTAGGTGAGGGAAGAAAATATACCTCTTGAAGTTCCTCCACTGCTTCATCAATCCCTGCAACATCACCAAATTTGACTCCTGTTGAACCCTGTACCAAAGTGAGTCCAAGGTCAAACACGATTGACTCCCCTTAAGAATGGCCACAATCACATAAGTTATATACTTAGGGACTAACATCAACACGAGCTTCAGCTTTAGATCGTGAAAAGTCAATTCCTTGCCACAAATCCTGCAAGATTGTCAACATTAAATAAGCATAAAATAGTATCAAAGTATTGATACAATCTCATTTCAAAGTAAAGAAGAATTTCAAGTGAGCTCATGAGTTCTAGAACATTTACCCACTTCCTGAAATTCTTAGGTCGTCTTGAAAGGGTAAAGCGGACCAGAAGAACCATGGTCAAGACCACAAGCAAAATCGGCTTCAGCATTTGAATGCTGGCAGATATACCACCGAAAGTATAAAGCTCATACAGCTTAGAGAAGACCCCTCCATCATAGAAAACATCAACAAAATTATCCCAAAGCCTCTCACAAATACCAAAGACGATGCCAATAAACAGCTTAAGAAAAGGTCTAACAATAGGCCAAGCCACATATACAGTGGTTACAAAGACGAAACTGGTAACAGCAAATACAGCAGAAGCTAGGAACCCCCCTACAACAGCTGCTGCTGCTGCAATGACAGCTGTCACCATCCCTAGCTCCACCATCATTCTGCTAGATATAGAAGAGGCTACAGGATGAGGAAACTCTGTCAACTTTCCAACAGAAGACTGCAATCAAATAATAAAACAGTGAGGAAGGAGCCAGCACTTTAGGTAATTGAGAGAGGGGCAAAAAGGGGGATGTAAAGAAGATACACAAGTTGTTTTAACAGAAAGGGTATCCACAACAAGATGAGCAAAAAAATTCATCCAATTCTGCATGATTCTATATATTCCCCACCTAGAATACAACCTGAAAGGAAAGGATCAATCTAGTACTGCAATACAATCAAATTTCAACGTACAGAACAAGTTCCACAGGTTCGGTATTTGATATAAGATCAGATTCACAACTGGAAGCATCGCATTACTCCATGACACAGATGGAACATGTATGCCACAACAATATTATTCAAGGCATTTAAGCTATACTAGTTCTACTCTTAAAGCAAAATCACACGTAATCTAACAGCGCTCTTAGCTTGCTTTTAATGCCAATGACAAACAGCCCAAAATGAATGTAAACTTGAAGGAAAGCCACTGGTGCAAGCTGAAGCAAACTCGTACCGTTAAATGCCTGTCTACTTCGTAAACTGGACCTGAATACTCATCCAAAACTGTTTGACTCTCATCCTCAGATAGCCTCAGTGCCCTTCAGAAAGGAAGTTCAGGAGGGCATCAAGATTCAAAATACAGCATGAAAGTTGTACAAAACTAAAAACATAAGCACAGAACCAGTGCCAAATGCCCAACCATTTAGTTCTGTGTAAGCTTTTCTCTCCCGGTATCTCTTTCAAGTCCACAACGAAGTCCCTATAAACATTTCCAGAACTCACACCAGTCCCTTCCTTCGACGTCACCAATTTAACCTTGTCACTCTGCTTCGCTTTCCTGAACTCCTCCAAGCTCATTCTGGGCAACTCCTCTACATTCTTATTGAACTCTTCTTCCTCGGACAACTCGGCCCCAAAAATCTGCTCAGGCACATAAAGCTTCCCCTTATACTCCCGCAAAATATCCTTCAAGTACACATCTTTACCCCCATTTTGACTCTCATTCGTCCCTTCAGTCGGCTTCCCCGCTTTGGAATTGAACACCTTTGCCAACAGCTCCAAAATACCCGAGTTCTGGCTCTTGCTCAAATTCTCTTTCTCTGTTGAAGAATAGAACTTGTCGCCAATTCGGTACCTGGGTTCAATTTGGCTGGGATTTTGCTTCAGAACCCTCGTCACAAAATCATCCCTTTTGTTAGTCTCGCCGGGCTGGGAATTGGAGGAGCTCGAATTCGCCGCGCAGAGAACTGTAAATGATCGGTGAAGAAAAGAAGGCGTTCTTTGTCGGAGCTTCCGATTGCATTGGAAGGAAGCCCTACAGGGTTTAGGGAGATAAACACTGGAAGAAGAGAAGAGGGTGTCAATGCTGGTCATTCTTCCGTCTGCAACTTCTATGACCGCCAACACATTGGAAGGAAGATAATGTCTGCAACTAACTTCTTCTCATTTGGCAACCAAAGAATCCAGAAATCAGCTCTCAATTAGGGTTTTCTGGAATTCGTTGCGAGGTGGGATAACATCCGGAGCGGATAAAGCTGTGAAACCTTTCGAACTAGGAATGAGCTCGCTTAGAGGAAGGAAATGGTCCGTTTTATTGGCGAAGGAAGAACCTTTGGTGTTAATCTATGTACAGTGAGAAGTCAAAAAGTGAAAACCCTCAACTTCGTTTAAATCGAATCTTGTTGCCAAAATGCATGGTTATCCAAAATCAAAACACATTTTATTTTTCATCTTTCGTTTTGTTAATTTTTATACATGGATAAACAAAAATGATTGTCAATAAAATCTAAAAATAATATATACAAAGTTTAAAATACTAGACAATAATATTTAGAGACAATCAAAATCCATCAAATTAGTATGACAAAACTCTAAATGTTACGAACCACTAGATCATTTGTCATGTTAATCATACAACTAACAAAATACTTTAACATCAAGAACATAATAGTTTAATTAACGTAATTCCTAAAACGTAATTCTTTAAGCGATGTAAGTTCAGCGAGTATCGCCCTCTCACTGCATTCCCTCTCTGCTTAAACTTGCAACATGTCTGGAAAGTTTTTTCTATGTTGTGCAAAATTTTAGAATATGTGAGCTTCATTTCATTCTTTTTTTCTATGCTAATGTTTTAAGGGCAAGAAAATCACATTCTAGAATAAAAGGATTGATACGGTTCACAGGATACTGGTCGGGACTCGGGAACTTAAGTAGAAAGCAGATACTAACGATACTACGATAGATAACTTTAAGTGCAAATGGGAACACAGAAGACTTCCAACACTCATTCAACTAACTCATCAAAGACGGCAAGCTATAGGCTCTACATATAGTTTACAAGAAAGATCAAAGAAGTCATTGCAGCAAGTAAGAAGATATCTTAAGAGCGCGCCAGAATCCTACTGACGATTGATCATACAACACAAATTCCTTCTTGAACACTTTAGTTTCTAAGACTGACAAAATCTTCTTTTTTTCTCGCATGGCCACAGCGATCTGGATCTCCACATTATCAGAATCTTGGAGCTGCAGAGGCAAAAGAAATGGGTCAGATGAGAAAGAGGAAACAACGATCAGTCTTAAATAGATCTCTATCTCACATCACAGAAAATGTAGTCATAGCAGCAGAACACTATAACGATGATGAGTAACACTGAAAGGATGTCAGATGGATGGCAATAAAAGGGGCTGGCAGTCTCAAAATCAAATCAACATTGTTTTATATCCGAGTAACTGAGCCTTACCACCGCCTATTGTCGCTTCAGGCATACGCTCAATTGAATATCTATGTTGAGTGATGTACATTATTGGGACACCAGGGACCTGCATGCAAATGAAGATGCATACAAATTCACAACATAAGCACCAACTTCTTTCTGTTGAAGAAAACTATCTTTCTGGTAATTCTCACTTCCAGTCCGTCAAACGTATTATTGTTTCTGTAAAACCATTACCTTGCGTATCCTCCGCTTCAGATCCCGATCACAAGTTGCAACAATGTAGCACTTGTGCTGTTCCAACCAAAAAAGAAGAGCATTACTATTAACATAACCAAAATACCACCCCTCGTGTATGGAAGGCCATAGTTAATTGTCGTCCATATCCTTTCAGTCCCAGTGAAGCATAATACCCAGTGAAAAGCAACCCATTAAAGAAGTTTCATCAAATGCAACAAAACTATGAATCAAAAATAGATAGAGACATGACCCTAGTACTGTAGTGACAAGTGCAAGTTGCAAGGAGCGAGAGCACATTCATTCTTTTTTAGTCTGCCCAAAGATAATGAAAGAAAGGAGCTTTAGTCTCATGCAAACACACCTGAGAGACCCTGGATACAATGCAGTCATCAGCATATGTTCCTTTATGAATGCAGGGCAGCCTCTCAAAACGTGGATCTTTAGCAATCCTAACAAATGAAAAAAGAAAGCCAATAGCTTTTAGACAAGGCTTATTAAAACAAGCTGAATAATACATGATAATAAACATTGACTAATAAGCATATCACAATGAACTGAAGAAAAAAGCTGGAAAAGAGGGGCAGAAACCTATAAGAGTTCGTTCTGATACTCGATGACAAATTGATTAAATAAAGGAAAATAACCAGAGAAACTAAAACACAATAAAGCATACCTCAAAGCCACACGGTACTTCTGGCCTAGCTTCTCAAGCTCAGCCATTACACAATCAGTGATGCAAGGTGTGCCTATAAATTAAAAGCCAAAAGAGATAGCAATCAGCTCAACATATCCTTTTGAGATCCCAAGTCTCTAAAATAGCAATATAAAGACTATACAGGAGAAGACGATTAGAGACACAAACTCACATTTCGCATAGAGGCAGTCCATCATTGCCTTTTCCAAATCCAACTGAAAAGGGAAGAACACAAGCAAATGCGTAAGACTTCAGTCTTCAGCACACACCAAAAAAAAAATCACATCAAGAAGCCACTTTCTACTAATAACACCATTATTCAGCAAATAAGCCATATTTCGATATTAGCATAAGCAAAGCTGAACGCAAAAAATCATCCCAATCCACCCAACTCCCTTTAACCTCCCATAATCATCATAATTATTCTGCCAACCAAGTAGTATGGATGATTTGCAGATTTCACGAATGCTATGCTAATCACATAGCTCCCAACAGGCAGGCCAAAAATAAAAAAAAAGCAAAGGGGTTGAAGAAAATATCAATCAAATTGCAATGAAACACTCACTTTGTTTTGAATCGAGAAATTGATGAAGTTGGTGTCCACCAGAACCCGGTATGGCGGCCCCAAAGCTGTGTTGTGCGTGAAATAAAGCGATGAAGACACCTTCGGCCTATTTCCCATGAAGCAAAACACAAAGATCAGAAAACAAAAAACAAAAAACCACCAAGTAATCTCTGCATTACTGCATATGAAGTAAAAAGAAGAGGGGGAAGAAGCTTTACACGTTTCTAGGAAGTTGCTCTTTGGAAAGGTCCTTCCTATTCGGGTTCAGAACCTCCTCCTTGTATCTAAAACAAACCAAGCAAAAACAGCGGAGTGAAAACGCCTGCCACAGGCCAGAGATTATATGTATTGAATTGAAATGGGCGCCGGGGGGGAGAAAGGAGGAAAGCGAAGCCTTACTGCTTAATTGCCTTTGAGGTGACCATCTTCTTCATCACCGCGAACTTCGGCCCCTTCTTGGCTCTTCCCATGGCTTTCACACGGTTGATTTACTAGTTTACCTGTCTTCCGCTAAGTTGATGAGGTAGATAATCAGCGGCGGCAGCAAAAGGCGGTGGAGTAAGTGCGGTCGCGGCGGCGGAGGCTGTTTTGGGATTGGGAGAAGTCGAATGATTCACTCACTGTCACGGTTCGTCGACTTCCTGATTTCCAAGAAGAAAACGATGACGTTTAGTGGCTCTATATATTTTTCCTTGACCTGATTCGTTACACCGCCCCAAGTATCGGACCGGGCCCATTCAGCTAAACTGGCTTTGTTCAGTCTTACCCCGCCCTTAACCAGGGCTTCAAATTCTGGACATAAGATTTCAGTGGGCCGAACCATTTTTTTTTTACATTTCTGGGCCGAACCAATATTGATTGGAAGATATGCCACATTTCAGCAAAAAAAAATTCGTTGAATCATATCTCTAGCATAGTCTTTGATTAAGACAGGAGTAGGTAGGTCATGAGGAATCCTTATGTTAAGCTTGAGCTGCCTAGACGTACTGCTCAGCAAGTTTCTTCACTTTCTTCCTCCCTTAATCAAGAAACTGACGTTCTTCGAGAAAAGAAAATGATAGGTGGCGACAGATTCACATACGAGCAATGAATAGTTTCCTTTAAGCATAACTTTGTCGTCTTCCTCTTCATCCTTTCTACTACTAGCTGGAGCAGCTTTTTTTCCTAGCAAGCAGCTCCCGTAGGATGGAAATCGGTACAATATCGGTATCTCAATACCAAATACCGAAAATCCCGAATACCGAATTACACCCTAAAGTCAATCCCAATCTCAATCCTTAAATAATTTTGGTATCCCAATCCCAATCTCTAAATATTTCGGTATCCCAATCGATATTACCTTTGCAATTGATAATTAAATATATAAAGGATTAATATTTTCGTATGGCCTGAACTTTGACCAAAATAAACATCCTGACCAATCTTTTCGATCTATAACATTCTGGCCCGAACTATACACCAAAATAAACAATTTGGCCAGATCTGACTTTTGACCGTTAACTTGGACGGTCAAACGCGTTGATCGTTAGTCAACGCGCCATGTCACTGCCAAGTCAGCATAAAATATTTAAAATAATTCATAATTTCCACACATTCCCTAATTTTAAATTATTATAAATTAAAAAAAATCATCTGATACTTAGTTAAACCAAAAATAAAAAACGAAAAAATTAAATATTTATCAGATCTTCTGACTTGGCAGTGACGTGGCGCGTTGACCGTTAGTCAACGCGTTTGACCGTCCAAGTTAACGGTCAAACATCAGGTTTGGCCAAATTGTTTATTTTGGTGTATAGTTCGGGGCAAGATGTTATAGATCGAAAAGATTGGCCAGGATGTTTATTTTGGTCAAAGTTCAGGTCATACGAAAATATTAACCCATGTATAAATTAGATTTTGTTGTTTAATGTAGGGGGAAAATACTAAGCAAAGTGTCTTGAATTATGATATTATTAAGGAGAATGGAGGAGAGGAGACATCTCAAGTTCTTGCCATTGGTAATCGTTAATTTGACGAATTGGAGGTTGAGAGACGACTATTAATAGTGATAGAATGATCTATGTATAATTAAATGACACTCTTGGTGGTTTAGGTTCGTGTAGTAGTGAATGAGAGAGTCTAGTTGAGAGGATAAAATACACACTAGCTTATATTTCGGTATTGATCGGTATTTCGGTATATACCAATCCCAATCCCGTAATCCCTAATACCGAATAACAATTGAAATTCAATCCCAATCTCAATCCCAAAAAATAATACGTGTATTCGGTAATACCAAATATAGACAAATTCAGTACGGTATTCGGTATATCCCAAATATCGATACCAAACTTCCAGCCCTACCTCCCGAGCCCATTTTGGTTTATCAGGCTTCTTATCAACGATTTTGACACATGTTTCCTTCTTGGACTTGATTCTAGAACCATCTGATGGGGCCACCGAACGGATTCTTCGAATGCTCAACAATATTATCCTTGGACCCTTGAGGGAAATTAAAGGGACATGCTTTGATGGAACTCTATTAGTAGGAGATGGTACACATAAGTAACAAAGTTGGATGCAAGGCTTATCGACATTATTGAAAATAGATAGCCGAAGGGAACACAAGTTGTTACAAATCTTATTATTAGTTCATGAGCACATTTGTTAACAAAACATAGTTCAAGGGTAAAAAAGCAACAAACCCTTCTTCGAAATCCACCCAAGAAAGAAGTGTATCCAGCGTAGCCTCTCGGATTGGTGGTTTACTACTCTGAACCAAAAAGTCGTAGCTTCGACCATATAATGCTCCTAGTTCCTCGTACTTTGGAATTTGAGCAGGCCAACAGGAGGCCCTAGCCTGGAACAAGCGCCAAGGAGGCAAAACCGGCCATTCTTCAATAATGAGCTTTAGGTCTCTCCCGGTGCTCAAATCGCAGGACATAATGACACATATATCGCTAATATAATTGTAGAAGACAATTTCCGACTTCTCTGAATGCCCGCAAGTCCGTACTTTGAAGCGTCAATGTAAGTGGGAGGTATATCGAGGCGGAAAGGATTGAACGCGGCAATTGAATGGGGATTCAAATCACAGCCATTTCGAGCACTCCTGTCCACCCAAAACAACTCTCCATTGCAGGAGACGACATTGATGATCAGTGGTTTCTTCACATGGCCATCAAGAACCAGCGCCTCCTTGGTCCATTCTCCGGACTCTGAACAGTAATAGAGATACATGATCCCACATCTTTTATTAATTTCTTTATTCTTTTTCCTGTATATTTTCTGTTCCTATTCTTGTGGGAAGTGGCTGTCATTCTGCTAATACGTGCACCACTTTTTCCTCATCTCTTCTGTATATTAGTTGTAGAGAATCATCAATGAGAATCAAGTTGGTTTTTACCACAATCACAAAAAATCTCAATTCTCTCACATGGTATCAGAGCTGGTTTGACCAAGTGGTCGTGTGTTCGAATCTCCACGACCCCCAATATTAACAGTGGATTAAAGCACAAGGTATGGTGGGCCTGTGCAAACTTTAAGCCCATGGGTTGGCTTTCGTTTGAGGGGGCGTGTTAGAGAGTGGTATAAGATCCAGCAGAACCTTCTCCCAACAACTCGAGTTATTGGGAGCAACTGGTTCTTGACAAAGGAGAGGCGGCTCTTCGTGGTGAGACACAAAACGACGATTGAAAGGCGGGGCTGGAGATGAGAGAGTTCCACTGCTTGCAGACGGATTTGCTCAGGCAGGCGGATCTGGGATCCGTGAGGCCGCAAATAAGGATTTCTATGAGGAGATCGTCGCCGAGTTTGCTGATGGGAGGAGGAGGAGGGTTTAAGACATCTGCCCGGCGTCGTTTTCTGGACAACGAATCCCAAGGCAAGGGGCAGTTCCCGGTCGCCATGGGGGGTAGAGATATGCCCGGATGGACGGAGGTTGACGCCGCCGGCTGAGAAAGTATACGGTGAGCTTGGGAAGGTTGGAGAGCAGCCAAGAGATCGAAAGGCATCGTACGTATCCGAACTCCGAAGAGGGCAAGGTGAAGGTAAACTCAGTGGGCTTCCGGTCGGATGTACTGGATTTTCGAAGGCCCCTGGGCCGAGTAGTTTGCGCTTTTCTGGGGCCGGGCCAAATTGAGTAAGTGACGCGGCCCATCTCATTTTCTTTCTTAAACCACACACTATTGGTTGTGTCGTGTCGCAATTGTCCCTTCGGGGTCGAGGTCGCTTTTCGAGAGTCGCCATCGATCTTACTTGGAGTGGATCGAACACTCATGGGTCGACGCTAACTTTAGGGTTAGAACCGAGGCTTGGTCTGCAATTAAGAGATTCAGGTTCGGAAGTACGGTTACGTGTGGGGAAGTGAAATCACACGCCACAACACCCTAAATCGGTACTACTTAAGTTAATAAATTTTATATTATTTGGGTTTATTTTAGTAATTATGTATTTTTTAAAATTCCAATGGATCATTACTATATTGTTATTTCATTAGGTATAATTTAACTGAACGTCTATTAACGTATTAGTTTATGATTAGGGTATTTGAGGTAGTTTTAGAGCCTTATTGGATCACTAAAGAATTTATATCGTATTAATTGCAATTTAATTACACGGTCACTGACGTAAAAACTAAAAATAAAATTAATTAGTTAGTTGGACTCAAATTAACCTCGATTAGAAGCCAAACTCGGTAAAGAAATTCTCAACCGAGGCTCGACTCGACAATTACTTGTCAATGAACTCAACCCAAGCAACTGAAAATATGTGACACATAATCATATTATATTATTAATTGAATATTTGTCAATGTATCCCACTACGTACCATTCACAAAATCATTACATATTAGATAGTCAAAAAATTTCTTGATATGAATCGAATTTTAAAAATCGTTATCAAACATTCATTGCTGTAATTGATAAAATTGATACTATTTTAAAAATTAGCAGAGTCTGAAAATAGCTTTCAACAATAACATTTGTTCTTTTTTCCTTTGCTAAATATAACAGAGTTTTCCTTTTTTTTCCACCTTAAAAAATTAGGCACAAAAAAAAAAACAGGTAACATAAAAATATAAATCTCCAAATAGGAGCTGAAAGCCTGGAAAATTGTAACCAATCGTGGCATTCCTCCCTGGTTCCCCCCTTTCCTCCGACTCGGCTTCGAGTTGGATTCTCTCCCGTGCTGCTCCGCCGCGGTCTACGCCGCCGCACCTCCATTTTCACCCTCCGGTTGGTAATCGGGATATCTCCAGGTCTTCATTTACCGCCCGTACTTTCTGACGGAATCAAATCACGCCGAGGCCGGCCAACGCCATTGGGGAAGATCCGTACTACAATCTAGAGAGTAGGTCAATAATGGTGAGTCTCAAATCAATCAATATTACCTGCTCTCGTTATTATTCCTTCATTTTCACAAATGAATAACAAATCAAATTAGGAATGTCAGCTTCTGAACTTTTTTCCGAATTTTCGAATTTAGGGTTGCGGCATATGAATTTGTTTGAAAATGCAAAATATTCGAATATTCATTGATGCGGAAATGTTGAAGTTCAACTTTGCTTGTTCTTGCTAACCTAACAATAGGGAATATGGATGGGGAAAGGAAATAAAAATTGGGAAGAAGACATTTTGCCACGTTCTTCTTCTTCTTAGATAAACACCACAACCCATGTGGAGTTATTGCTTCCAACTATTATGTTAAAACAATTTTATCCCTAGGTTGCTTTATATAATGCTGAATTCAACCTTTTCCATTATTTGATCCTAATGCACTGGTGCATGCAATACTTTTGTATATACTATCAACAATTCTCCATAATATTAAATCTTAAACTCCACAATGAACACTGCCCAAAAGTCCAATCCCCAATGGTAGGCAGGTTTTCTTTATTTTAATGCCGAGAATCGAATAGAAAGCATTCAATATGCTGTTAACAATTCTCCTCCACGACACTGCAAGTTCATAGCCCACTTACCAGGCACTCTGCTTGCTTATTTCTGTTGTAACCACCATATGGAAGGGTCAAAGTTATAGCCCACTTAAGCTGGAAACGGCCAATTCAGTGTTGGAACTTGTCCACTTGTCAGCTTGTGTCTGATTTGGACGACTTTGGTGACCCTATTCCTTGGCTTTTTTCCCTATGTAACAGGAAGGTCTTCATCGGAGCAGAATCAACAGGCAGAAGAAGATGGAGATGATTGGAAGCAAGCAACTCAATAATGGAGAAATGAGGCTTTGAAAATCCTGGACAGACTTGACAGCGATTCCAAATCCAGGTATATTTTGGTGCAAGTTGAACAACTTTTCTACAAATAGGAAGCATTTGAATAGTGAAAGCTCTTTCTTCTCATCTGATGTCCTATTCATTAGGTTGATCATGAGAGTACTAGTCAGTAATAACTAACAAGTAAGGATCTTTCTTCCCAATCAGTGGGAAGTGGAACATAGATTAGATCTAATTTGCAGGAGTTGAGGCCTCTTTCTTTTTTTCTTCACTTCCCTTCGGTTCCCCCTTTTTTGTTTTTATCTTGTGTAGAAATTAGAATGTTTCCAGGAAGAAACACTGGGAAGGTTTAAGCAACTTCATTGGTTGCATCTGGGACCTACATGTCTATAAACGTCATTAGAAGAGTCTTAATCAATAAAGTTTGCAGCATATAACAACATAAGGGAAAACTCTATTCAAAGAACAAAAAGCAGAACCAATCCCCACTCACTCAGCCTGCCTTTTTCAGCTTTCAGTTCACCTTATCAGTAAAGGAACAAACTTTGACCAAATTGAAAGATACTGATGACTATTAATGACAGTTTCAAGCAAATTAGTCCTGACCCTTTTGTTGTGCTTTATTTCACATTGCCAGAATGATGCTTGCATTACGTGGCTGTTTTTTCAAACAAAAGATCAAGAAACAGACCCGGTATGACGCCAATGCTCGTCTGGCTTCAGAGACTCCTTGTAAGTCCAAATATCTTCTTACCAAAATGTTGCTACCATCTTCGGTAACTTTGGACTTACTATTGATAAGACTGATTTTCCAGATATAAGTTTCACGAACAGAAAATTTGCATGTTTTGATTTCCACTGACCTGTTCACATCACTTTTTGTTAAGGAAATCTATGAAACAAACAAATTGGGGAGGTCCATATTATGCTTTTGTTTTCCATTATGAATCCGTATGTAAGAAGTTTCTGGCAATTGATTGAACTGTTTTTCAAACAGTCACGATCAATGAAATAGAGGCTTTGTACCATCTGTTCAAGAAGCTAAGCAGCACCATAATTGATGACGACCTTATTCACAAGGTGCAATTTTCTATATTCCTCCTGGTTGAATGTGCTGCTTAGGTTTCTGCAATCGCATCCTGACCAGGGTCCGTCTATCTGTCAGGAGGAATTCTTATTAGCACTTTTCAGGAGTAGGAATACTAACAACCTTTTTGCTGAGAGGGTGAGCATTCTCTTCTCAAACAAATTTTCTGCACATCGTATCCAACCTACTCAATATGCTTGCTGGTTTACTGTGTGCAACACACTGCAGATTTTTAATCTGTTTGATATAAAGCACGATGGAGTGATAGAGTTTGGTGAATTTGTTCGCTCGTTAACCATCTTCCATCCTCGAACTTCGGTAGCTGACAAAATATCATGTACGGATCACTTTTGCTCTTTTCATCCTGGAAACTATACCTGACAATGCATCAGCAACCATCTTGTACCATTATATTCAACCTAGGTACCTAAAACAGTAACTAACATGTGGAAGCCATGTTTTTCTCCCTCAGTTGCATTCAGGCTATACGATCTTAGAGAAACTGGCTACATAGAACGGGATGAGGTAATTCAAAAGCTTTCCCTGGAAACTATATGTACAATCAATCTCTGCCTTCTGTTGGTTGTGTTGACTTAACTCACTTGCTGTTGAAATGGGAGCAGTTGAAGGAGATGGTACTTGCTATCCTGAGTGAATCAGACTTAACACTTTCCGAAGACACCATCGAGTCCATGGTCGATAAGGTGACCCAAATGTTCACAATCGGCTCAAATATGTTCGTGTTAGGTTACTTAGGAACTTATTTTTGGATCTCTACCTTTCTCCAGACACTTGCAGAAGCAGATTTGAATGGTGATGGAAAGATTGATGAACAGGAATGGGAGGAACTAGTAGCAAAGCATCCATCTCTCATAAAGAACATGACAATTCCATACCTAAGGCTTGCTCCTTGACCCTATACTCGAAAATGTGAAAATAAAGTTATGTTTAACACTCATTGGTGACCTCAATATTCATTTTCAGGGACTTGACTGTTGCATTTCCAAGCTTTGTTCTGAACACTGAAGTTCCTGACTGAAGGCAAATTGTAACTGTCATTCTCCAGGAGAACTAATAAAAAAGAGACTTGCAAGTATGATATAGCATGTCTAAACTTTATAATGAAAGCATTCTACCATTTTTTTTTCTTCCTCTTAGCTTGTAAAAGGTGAAATCTGTGTACTCTAATACTTCCTTGCTTCCTCTTTTCAACAAAATGAAAGAGTGTAGTTGAATACCCTATTGGGTTGTTTTTTATTATATCCATTATTATCTATCACGAATAGTTTTTTCTTTTATCTTTTTTAGCTAGCACGTCACGAGAATTCATATATAATGTAGTATTACAAATACCGAACATGTCGAGAGAAAAAAAAAAATCAAGATTGTAACCGTAAATGGGTCGTTAAATATGTAACAAAATCAAGAAGTTTGGCTTCTCCTTCTCATCATATCAGACCCTTCAACGGTCATAACTCACACCAGCCTATAAATAGGGCTATCTTATCTAGCTTCCACTGGTCTCACCAAAAGCCATAACAGCCCTAGCTATATATTGTATTTGATTGATCACAGATTCATCATTTGATGGAACCTGGAGAACAGGCACCCACCATTAGTGCCTAGATTAGATAGTAGTCAGATAGAACCCACTCAAATATGGGTGTAAGTTGTAACAAACTAAACTCCAAAGTATCAGAACAGACATTTGCAACTATTTGACATGTATACTACAACATCCACAAATGATACATTCTGTTATTCCAAATCTGCAGCTCTTACAATAGTGCGGTTTGGACTTTGGAGTTCGGCAAATTGCCACAAAAAGCATATAAACCAAACCCCTCGATTTCACCATCCACTCTATGCCCACCCACTCATCATCCCTCGATCAGCACCATTCGCATTTAACCCTTTGCAGCCGAACTCCCACATGCTGCTACTAGCTACAGGACAGACATTTCCTTTTACAGGTTATATATACATAGCACTACAGGGGTACTTCCATGGCTTCTGGCACCTAGCTGCCACTACTAGAACAACGACAACGACGAAGACAATGCCTCTTGTAAAGGGGAAAAGCTTCCTTCTGCAGATGAAGTCCTGCTGTTGCGCGAGCCACAAGCTTATTCGCGAGAAGGAGAAAGCTCTCCTTGCTTCTCAGACTCATTGTGTGTCCCTCTTTTCAGTCTTGACTCCTCTTTAGCTGTCTCTTACTTTCATGATCTCAAAACATCTTAACCATGTAACGTTTTGGTCGCGTTGGGCCGAGGCAGTCACTGAAGATGAAGTTGAAGCTTTGTTTGAGCTGTTCAGGAAGTTGAGCAGCTCTCTGGTGGATGATGGGGTTATAAGCAAAGTATATTACATGATTGAGTTTATGGTTTCATTCTGATGCAGCAATGCCAAGCAACTGGCTGTTAACTTTTCAATGGTTTCTGTTCTGTTTTCAGGAAGAGTTCCAGCTGGGTTTGTTTGGGAACAGCAGGAAGCAGACCCTCCTTGCTAATAGGGTGATTTAAGCTTCTTCCATGGTTTCCTTTTCTTCTAGTTTAAATCTTCATGATCCAGAAATGGAGGAATGATTTTGTTTATTTGTGTGTTTGCAGCTCTTCCAATTGTTTGATTCCAAGAGAGACGGAGCAATAGACTTTGAAGAGTTCGTGAGAGCTTTGAGTGTCTTCCACCCCAAGGCAGCTCAAACAGAGAAAGCTGCTTGTAAGAAACCAACTTCCTTTTTCTGCATTCTGCTGATTTCCTCATCGTGTCTTTTTATCTTGATGGCTCAGCTGATACATGATGATTTGCCAGTTTCATTCCAGCTCTACGACATCTGGGAAACGGGCTTCATCCAACGCAAAGAAGTAAGTAAGACGAGAGGAAGAATAAAGCTCGAAAGAGCTCTTTGCTTGTGATCATGGCTAGTTCAGGGTTTTGATCATGTTTGAAATTTTGATGTCATGGGAAAAAAGGTCAAGGAGCTGTTTCTGGCACTCCTGGATGAGTCTGACTTGCTACTCACAGATGAAACTGTCGAGGCCATTGTTGATAAGGTGTTTGCTTGCTTCCCAAGACACTACATTTTCACATTGTCCTGCTTCCCTACAGATCTCACAGAAGAGTTTCTGCTGTGTGTTTCTTTTTCCCCTGCTCAACAGACATTCAATGAGGCGGACTCAAAAGGCGATGGAAAGATCGATGAAGAGGAATGGAGGCACTTCACAGCTCAGTACCCATCACTACTGCAGAGTGTGACTCTTCCACATTTATTGTAACTTCACCTCTCATAACCTTCCTTTCCTTCACATCTAAGTTTCAAAACCTTGATGCTATGCTGCTTCTTGTTAACAGGGATGTCGGAACAGTGTATCCGAGTTTTACATCAGTCTGATATCGATGATGACTCGAGTATAGTTTCACTAAATTCAAAAAGGTGTGATCTTTTATTCAGAGCTGAAATGTACACATTTCTTACAACTAATCAACAAGTAACATATAAGTGATACATGATCTATAGAACTGGAACACCATCCATTAATTTTCTGCTTGTTAATCCGGAATAGAAAAATAGAACAGGCAAACGGACAATTCGAGTTTTACGTGATATCTCTGGAATGTCCGCACTAATCCACGGAAGTGTTATTGTAGTTTTCTCATTTATGTATCTTCCCAGCTGCATCTCACCACTGCTATTAATATTAATATATTAATATTTTTTAATATATAAAAGTCAAGGTTGTATGTTACTATTCATTAATGGCTCTCACACTCCTCCAAATGCAAGTGGAGAAGTTCAAAGTCCTTCTTTTACCCCACTCTCCAAAAGAGTACGAGTAAGTTTGGTCCAAATTTTAGAAGGGGCAATGTCTATTTTTTACCCAAACCTTTTTCAGATTCTTTTATTTTAACCAAACCTATAGAAATTCTATTTATTATCCAAATGTATTATAATTTATCAAAGTCTGGGCATTCATTCTGTTACCGTTACTTATTTCGTCCACGTGAGGAGTGTGATTATGTTTTGTTTTTGATAATCTTTTTATTAAAAATAGTAAATGATGGTATTCTTACCGCCACGTAGGAAGTCAACTCATTATGGTCATACTTAGTCAGCATTACTAACAGAAAAGTTGACGGAGAGTTAACGTTTGGATAATTTTTAGGAATTCAATAGATTTGGTTAAAATAAAAGAATCTGAAAAAGGTTTGGGTAAAAAATAGACATTGCCCTTTTATGTTTCAAAAGTTGAAGTCAATCCAAACACCTCTAAAGTTTCGCTTTTTAAAAAACTGAAAATTTTCATATTAAAGGCAGAAGCTCAAATTTGAAAATACAAAATTGCCTTGCCATATATTATTCTCTTTCTAGAAAACTTAATTTTCATTCATTTATATCATTATAAATAAATAAATTGAAAATTATTATTATTTAATATTAATTAAATATAACGTGATCCATTTTAAATACTTTTTATTTTTAGTATTTGTATTTATATTTTATGTTAGAAATTTTTTTAGTCATTTTTCATTACCTCTTATATTAGAAAGTAATTTTGATAGTTTTTAGCTAAACACTCAATAGTTTTTTTTAAATACTTCTTGAAATGAAACAGAGAAGCTGCTTCATTCTGCAAAAGTTACAACATGATCAATTACTAGCCATACAAATTGAAGCGTCATGAAAGAAATTTAAACATAAATAATCTATTCGACGACTCTTCTATATTATGCAAATCATCGACCATATGCTATTGTAAATAAAAAACATATGAAAAGAATTATTAAGAATGAAATAAGATTACTTTCAATTTTGGGTTAACATTAAAATCTTACTAAATCGTGTCATATTTAGTCACTAGAAAATTTTAATACCAATTTTGGTCATTCGAATTACTGAAATAGGTCACATTTAGTCACTCTCCCATTAATGGAGTTGGACGGAAACTAACGGGGGAGTGACTAAATGTGACATTTTTCAGTCATTTGAGTGACTAAATGTGACATGTTTAAGTAATTGGAGTGACCGGAGTTGGACGGAGATTAACGGGAGAGTAACTAAATGTGACCTGTTTCAGTAATTCGAGTGACCAAAATTGATATTTATTTTTATAGTGACTAAGCATACACAATTTAGTAATCTCCTCATTAACCAAACGTGGCATTTACCCAATTGTAACCATACATCAAATTGCTTATCACCTTATCCACGTACGAGGCCCGATACTCTATACATCAAATGAAAGAAGAAAAGAAGCCCAATATAGGAAAGACAAGGCCCACACACAGGTGTACTTGGAGGCCTCGATTCATAAGCCCAAAAAAAAAAAAAAAAAACAAGGAGCGCCAGCGCCAAACCCTCGGAGACCCTCCAAGCTCCAACGGCTAGTATCCAACGTTCAAAATTAACAACTATTTAAAATTCCTTCTTCCTACACTCCTCTTCCTCAATATCATCGTCTCCATTTGCTTCCTCCCCGTATTTCTACTCTGCTCTCTTTCTCTCCCTCACTCTACCTGGAGGCGGAGGAGGCAACATTCACAACATCTGCTGCAAATCGGGCCATACAGCCAATTTTGTCCCCTCCCAAACTTCTGTATATTTGAATGACGATGCAGGATACACGGACTGGGCCGCCTCCCGGCTTCCGACCAACCAAATCCGCGCCTTCTTCGCCGGCCAAGCCACTGGGCATATCAAGAACTCGCTCGGATTCATTTCACGCCATTCATAAAGTCCCTCTAGGGGACACTCCGTACGTGCGAGCTAAAAACGTTCAGGTGAGAATCGAATTGAAACATTTGGGGTTAAATCGTATAGATAAGCCTCTGTTTCTGATCCGGGTTCTTTTTTTTGTTTGTGGGTGGGTTGAATGATGGTCAGTTGGTGGAGAAGGATCCGGAGAGAGCTATTCCCCTGTTCTGGGCCGCGATAAATGCAGGGGATAGGGTGGACAGTGCTCTGAAAGATATGGCGATCGTGATGAAGCAACAGAATCGGGCCGAAGAAGCCATTGAAGCTATCAAGTCGTTGAGAGTACGCTGCTCAGACCAAGCCCAGGAGTCTCTCGACAATATTCTCTTGGATCTCTACAAGGTAATCAATATATTTACATATACACGGACATTTCTTCCCTGTACTTTTTACTGAATGGGGTTTTGTAAACTTCATCGAACACAGAGATGCGGGAGGCTGGATGATCAGATCGGTTTGTTAAGACACAAGCTTTGCCTAATCCAACAAGGATTGGCTTTCAATGGTAAGCGCACAAAAACCGCCAGGTCTCAGGGGAAGAAGTTTCAGGTCTCTGTACAACAGGAAGCAACTAGATTACTGGTGCGTGTGCTATTTATTTCTCTTTTCTTTCCCCCTCCACCAAAACCAAACAGACCTGGATTGGAATCTGATAATTACAAGATTGGATTTTGATCGTGGGTTTTTTTTTCCCCAGGGGAACTTGGGATGGGCATTGATGCAACAAGACAAGTACAGAGAAGCAGAGGACGCATACAGAAGGGCACTTACAATCGCACCAGACAGCAACAAAATGTGCAACCTGGGGATATGCCTGATGAAGCAAGGCCGGATCAACGAGGCGAAGGACACTCTCCGGCGAGTGTCCGACGGTCCCCGGGGGATCGATTCTCATCTCAAGGCCTACGAGAGAGCCCAGCAGATGCTCAAGGACCTCGAATCCGAGAAGATGAGCAGCAAGGCAGGGGACGATATAGCTGAATGGAGCAGATTGTTCGACGCCTTTCTGGGCTCCTCTTCCATTTGGCAGCCCCAGCCTTGCGGCGGCAAATCATCGCCGTCTCATCGGGATGATTTCGGCGATGAAAATATCAACAACAACATATTGCCGCCGCAACAGAGGATGCTGAAGCAGCAGCTGGCATCGTGGAATGTGGATGCCCCGCCGTTCTACTCAGGGAAGCAGGATCAAGTTCATGAGACTCTGAAGCGGACAAGGTTGCCGGATAGTAAGGATTTTGAGGATGCTATCCTGGCGGCAGTTCTGGGTTCTGTTTCTTCTTCATCGTCGACTAAGGATGGGCAAGGGAAGCCGCCGCCGGTGCCGGTTGTTGTTGTTGACTCTCAGAGGTTCAAGGTTGAGAAGAGGCTCAAGGTTTTCCAAGACATTACTCTGTCCCTCAGCCCACGAGCCTGACTCTGACTGACTACTGGGATTTGACTTCATGATGATGATGATGACATACTCTCCTGCTGCAACATTTGTAGTCTAATTGCTGGCCATTAGTGCCCCAGCTTCTCTTTCTTTTCAAACTTACAATCTAATCTTGAAGGTAGTAGTAGTAGTAGAGTAAGGAAGAAGAGGGAGAAGATAAACTTGTTCTCCTTAACCACTACCTTTCTAATTGCTGGCACATTTTCTTTTATGGAATGTGGAATAAGAAAGTGAAATGACTCACTTTTATCTATTTAATAATTTTGAGATAAGGTCGTTTTTCTTGTTTTGGTTATTCACTTAACAAAATAAGAAAGTAAGAATACGTACTTTGTTCACAAATACAATATGTATTTATGAGTAGGAAAAACTAGTATACAAAACAGAGAAGACAGGCAGAAAATGAACTGAACAACCGAACTTGGCCCAACCCTACGCTAGACACTATACGATTTGGGCTCGGTCTAATGTGTAAAGGTTACATGGGCCGAACGAAGGAGAGAATGGATCGAAAATGAACTGAACAACCGAACTTGGCCCAACCCTACGCTAGACACTATACGATTTGGGCTCGGTCTAATGTGTAAAGGTTACATGGGCCGAACGAAGGAGAGAATGGATCGAAAATGAACTGAACAACCGAACTTGGCCCAACCCTACGCTAGACACTATACGATTTGGGCTCGGTCTAATGTGTAAAGGTTACATGGGCCGAACGAAGGAGAGAATGGATCCAGTCTGCTATACAAGTGGGATTGTCTCGACTAACATTTTCATGGACCCAGCGCTTCTGTATGAACGTGTGAATGTGTGATGTTCCCTTGTTCGCTTTAACACCACAAACAAGGAAGGGGGGTTGGGTCACAGGTCGGTTGGTTGATGTGGCGGGTCGAGTTTTAACTTTTTGGGTTTAAAATGGGTGATTAGAAGTTTATTTTAGTCAAGTTAGTAAAAAAAAATTGATGTTGTTAGCAGAGACCGACGGAAGGTAACAACAGTCAGTAATCAAACTTGAACTATTAAACTAATTTTTATCGTCCACACATAGAGTAACAAATTTTAAGTGGCAAACGTGAAACAATTTACTAATCTCGGTGACCGAACCTGCAATTTACCCATTTGAAATGATGAGCACTTATATCTTCTACGTCAATCAAACTTTACCGTTCTTTCAACAACAAATTTACCACAATAAACTCAATTCGAACTGTCGGCATATCTTTTTAAAAAAAAACCGATCTCATACCATCTTACTACGAATCCAATAATAATTTGAGTGTTGCGAAAAGGAATATATGCGTTTAACCAAGGCCGTGCTGATGAATCATACATTGGCCCCATGATGAATGAATGTGGTGGAGGCACTCAGCCACATACCAAAAACTAAAGCCAATCTCGATACATTGAAACCGTCGAGCTAGCTTTGGGGGAACAAGAATGTTATATTGAGCACTTTTTTAAGATTTGAGAGTCTTTCTTTCGGTGGCAACGGCACTTAGCCTGGCCTCCTGCTCCAAGTTTACAGAACCAGCTTTGTGTTTTGGAGACAACAATCTCGATGCCAAAGGAAAATGGAAATATGTATCCAATATATAAACGTACATGTATCCGTTATAGTAAACTCTGCATACAAATTTTAATTAAACAAATCACGTGCATGCATTTGTATATTTTGGATGAACCCACCGATTTGAACTTGTCTCTCTAAACTTCCTGCATATCTATCTTTATTCTCCATCGTTCTTCCTTGTTATGATAGTAATATTGATCATCAAAGTGTGGATGGCGAAGATTCCCCCGCCATTTCTCAAATTCACCCTTTTCTCAGGACGACTGGATCGACATCACTGAAATCACAACCCGAGCGTTTCATAGTTGAAACAAATACCGTATTGTGACACCACATTCTGAAATATACTTTAAAAGGCTAACTTGGTCAATGTATGCATTATTTTTTCTCACTTATACACAAAACTAACAAATTCAATGCCTTTGTTTTTTCCCCCTTCTTCTGCGACTGTCGTATGGATATTAGCGACAAAGAGACAAACTCAATTTTCTTCTCCATAAAATATATGGTTAGAACTTAGAAGTATTTCTTAACATATCATCTTGATAGGGAAAGTGGGAATCTAACGGCTGGGATCCCATATCTATAGAATTTGCTGTTTATAAACACTCATAACACCAAATAAAAAAAAATATCTTTAAAGTATATTAGATATTATTGATCAATCAATTATATGTTAAATATGGTTAAATTAGGGCATATGGTCTGATGTTTACATGTGATAATAACGAGTGATTACTGATTAGGAGCCTAGAGTTTCCGTTACTCGATATCTCAGAGTGGAAATCATAGTTATTATATCCTAAAATTTGGACTTTTGTTCATTATGGTTTATGGGCTTAGGGTATGGCAACGTCTATGCCGAGGGTGAGGGGAGGTGAGAACTTAATTCCAGAGCTTGTCCTCATATACAATTGGATTAGATGTGAGAAAATGACCATTTTGATGGATTTTGCTGAGGAAGAGAATTCCACGCTGCAATATGGATAGTGAGCCTTTTTTGTGCACTTTTAATTGGGCAATTGTAACATCTCAATTTTTTTCATTGAAATATTGTTTGTTTCGAGTAAGGTCGAGAAAAGTACTTATACTCATCTCGTTCCGCTCTAAAATAGGTTAAACAAGTCGGGTAAATCAGGGTAGGTTAAAATTATTATTCTTGATTCTGATTGAGGTTTGCCCCACCATTTTTCATGAAGAATACGACGTGTGCATAGCTCCCAACCATGGACCTATAGTTCCCAATATGCACTCAGATTTGAGTTTTACTGGTTTTGAATAATATATGTCCTCTCCGGTTCATTTTCTTATTGTTTTATGAGATTGTTATAATGTTTGCCGCCTTTATAATGTACTATTTTTGTAAGCACACAGAATATGTATTGTTTGCACTGTTTATAATATCAAAACTATATTATGTGAATACTATCAATTTTTATCTCAAACAATATGTCAAAAAATATTGATATTGTTGAATTGTGATAAAATTATAAGCAAGCTTCGTTCACAATATATCAAATGGAAGTGGTACGTTGCTAGAGTGTAATGAACTTTTTCTTAGTATAGTGATTTAAGTACATCATATTTAATTGACTAATCCTACTTAGTAATCCCTTATTCCTATACATATCCATAAAAAGAAAAAAAAAAAGGAAATTGTAATAAATACATTTATTATTATACCTCACAACTTCAGCTTGCTCCATACCTGGCTTTGCCATAGAAAATGAAAGTAGGAGTATAGAAAATTTATTATTCAAAGTATTAAGAAAAAAAGAAGAAGATAATCATAATAGTTTACTGTAATCTCTTTGTCGGGTTGTGGCCGGCCGGCGAACTAAACAACGAGCTTTTTATTCAATTATTATCACAATAGTCGAGGGAGCGGAGCGGACGCAGCGTATTGGCAAAAAAAACCGACCCGACCGCTCCTGCCAACACGTTTGCTTCCGTACCACGTGGCACGTTCTCATTACATGCCCCCACCTCCAACGGGAAAATTTTAAAAAAATAAAGCTATAAGGAAGATAATTTATTTTAAAGATATATAGAGAGTGACACAAAATTGTGACTACATTATCTTACAACAATATAATAGTTACGTTAGGTTATCTTGTGAAGGAGTTGATGTTACATAAATATGTGCAAATATCAAGAATTGGAGCATGGATGAAAATTAAACCTTATACGCATGTTCTTTTTCACTACTCGCAGGAATATGTGGTTGGGTTAATTTAAAAAAAAAAACATGCCATGGTGGATTAGATTAGACGAATCAAATTGAAATTATCACGGTTGAATAATATGTGTAGGGGTTTGTCAAAACTCGAATTCTAGACCTTGATCCTACTATATTGTTATAGTATTGTTAAACTAGTTGAACCATATAAAACAGTGGCGGATCCAGGGGGTGGCCAGCATAGTTAGTAAAATACGGTACGGGAAAGTTACGTAAAAGATACGTACGGGCATTATACTTCATCTTTAAGCTAAAATTACGTTTAATAGTACGTTAATAGTCATAAATATATAAAATTAATCATTTTAAAAATAAATAAATATATAAATAATAGTAAAGTTAACAATTTAATTCGTAAAATACGGATAATAAACGTGTTATACGGGTTTTATACGTGTTTAGTACGGGAACCATGAAATGAACGGGGGGAAATGAAACGGCTTGACAATAATACGGATACGGAAGTTTTAAACGAATAAAGTACGTACGGGTACATATACGTGTATTAAACGGAGTATTTACTAACTATGGTGGCCAGCCCTCCCCTGAATCCAAAGCTAGTATAGTACTTATAAATTTTTTGTTTTAAGATATTCGGACTAGTGTCAATTTAAAATAAGATTGTGTTTAATTTTAAAAATGATTCAGATGAACATATTCAAACCATAACACTTAATTCAGCCTATAAATTCTAGGCCCAATGATTTTCTTCTAAAGAAAAACAATGAACCTAAATTTCTTAAAGTCTAAAACGTAAAAGAGAAATAGAAATATGAGGTTTGTTCCCTCTAAAAATTATTAGAGCAGCTGGTGAAAATAGGGTTGAACATTCAATACAAATTGATTAGTCAATTGATTTGTACAGTGTTGACGTTGCTCGTTTCAACATCTACTACGAAGAGAACCTTTTCAACAATAAAACATGTGAAAACTTATTTGCTTAACAAGATGAGCGATGAATTTCTCAGTGATTGCTTAACTATTTCATTTGAAAGAGAGAATATTATTGGTATGGATGTAGACTCTATTATTGATGAATTTTCTATATTAAAATACAGTCGTGTAAAATTGACATTATAGAAAAATTAGAGTTATTTTTCTTTTATGATATTTAGTTTTTTAATAAAATCCGGCCCAGTGCTCTACTATTTCCTGGATCCGCCGCTGATATAAAAGGTATTGTTGAACTAGAAATAAGCTGGTAAACTTTGATATTCTACTATCGATTGATTACATAAATGTATACATTTTGTTATATATTTACTACGTTGTATTTAGACGAACATAGTCGAACAAAAATACCTTTCAATTAAGAAAATACGTCCAAATGTAAACTTTAACCGAACTAAGTATAACAAACTACTAAGTACTCGTTCAATCAGTTTATGCTCCTAAAATTTCCTTACTCTATTCCAATTTGGCATTGATCTACTATTGCACACTCTAACCATATCACTACATAAAAACAAATGTATATGTCATGGTAATATAGTAATTTGGTAAAATGGTTAGCATAATTACTAATTACTCCAAATCAAACGGAATCCAGCCTATCCAATTTTGAGCAAATAAAAAAAATGAAACCGATTATCCCAAGTTATATTAATCAAAACTATCTCATATTTTTTTTATTACTCGTGAACTTTAGCTTCATGTGTCACTTTGTAACAACATGTCCTACTAAACTTGGGGGCCACCTGCAGCTTTGTACCTACAGGAACACCAACGGATCTCGCTTGAATTCGAACCTGAGATCTGCAACTCCCAAACTTTCACTGTTGCTCAGATTTACTGTTACTTTTGGTTCTATGTTATTCAATTTAAAATATAAAATGAATGTAAAAAAAAAATACTAAAGAAAAGGGGAGCAGAATTTGGTCAAGCAGTGCCTGCTACCGAAAGACGAAACAAACGACCGTCCAAAAATCATCACAGAACTTAACGCGGGCAGACGGAATCCAATACTCCCGTCCAGTCAGCGACGTTTCGTTTCGATAGGTCGGTCAAACTTTTTCCTTTTGTAAGAAGAAACATTTTCTATATAAACCAACGGCCACTACTACCAACCGCTCCCCTCTTTCCTCTCTCGAATCTTCTCTCTTCTAATTGCTACGGCGTCGTCCTGGTCGGAGAAAGATCAGTTAAGACAGGAAGATAAAAAAATCCGTTAGAGAAAACTCCGGCGAGAAGGTCGGAATCCCCCGGTCGCCGCCGACGTTTTCGGATTTCACCCAATCCCCGGCAACAAATCGGGGGGCTTTTACCGATTCATCCTCCTCCGCTTTTTTAAGCTCTTCTTCTTTCCCATTTCGCCCTTGGTTCTTCCCCGTCGGTAAGAATCCACAGTCCGTTTTGCTCCCCAATTTTCCCCCGTCAATTCCATTTTTTTCCGGACAAGGAGCTTCATTACTTAAAGAAAAAAAAAGGAAAAAAATTTCCCAACAAAAACCACTTCGTAATTCATCAAATCAGATTTCCTCTGTAAATGAGTCAAGGGTGACGGACCCAGAAGCTTGAAACCTTTCAGTCGTGAAGTTTCAGCTTCTGGGTTTGGTCGTTTTCTTCAATCGCCGGAGAACCCAATTCCCGATTTCTTATTTTCTCAGAAATTCTAGAATGCTCCAAATCTTCCTTCAATTTTAACCCTTTTCTTTTTCTGTTCATCACGGTAAAGATTGTGAATAGTTAGCCAAATAATTTTTTGGGGGAGAAAAAAATTATGTCCGTCGTCGACGTGGCATTGAGCTCCGGCAGAGAAGGAGCGGCGGTGAGATTCCCCGGGTTCGGCGGCTACTTCTCCTCGGAGGACTCATCGATCCTGATCTACCTGAGCGTCGCCGGTTCGTTCATTCCGATGCGGGTCCTGGAATCCGACTCCATCGCCTCGGTCAAGCTCCGGATCCAAAACTCCAAGGGTTTCGTCGTGAAAAAGCAGAAACTGGTGTTCGGAGGCAGAGAGCTCTCCCGGAGCTCCGATCTGGTCAAAGACTACGGAATCACCGGCGGCAACGTCCTCCACTTGGTCCTCAAGCTCTCCGACCTCCTCCTCATCACCGTCCGCACCACCTGCGGCCGGGAATTCGAGTTCCGCGTCGACCGGTACCGAAACGTCGGATACCTAAAACACCGCATCTTCCAAGAGGGCAAGGGCTTCGTCGACGTCGACGAGCAGGAAATCTTCTACAACGGTCAAAAGCTCGACGACCAGCGCCTCATCGACGAGATCCGCGACAAAGACGCCGCCGCAGCAGCGATTCACCTCCTTGTCCAGAAAACTGCAAAGGTCAGAGCACAGCCGTTAGACAGAGATTTCGAGATCTCCGTCGCCGCCGCAACAAACCCTAATCAAAGTCAGAATCAAAATCAAAATCAGACCAAGAAGCAGAATCAGGAGTCGTCGATTGAGGTGCTAAGTCGGGAGCAAGCAGGGAGGGATTTCTGGCTAGAGCCGGTGATTGTGAACCCTAGCGTGAGATTAGATTCAGCGATTTGGAACATGGTGAATTCCACCTTCGTCGGGCTGGAAATGGGCCACCCGCCGATCCGTTCGTCAGAAGGAACAGGGGGGACTTACTTCATGAGGAACCCATCTGGCCAAGGGTTTGTATCGGTGTTCAAGCCCAGCGATGAGGAACCCAACGCCGTGAACAACCCACAGGGCCTGCCGGTGTCGTCCAACGGGGAAGGGTTGAAGAGAGGGACGAAGGTAGGGGAAGGCGCGGTTAGAGAAGTTGCAGCTTACATATTGGATCATCCGGTGAATGGTCCGAGGGGTTTGAACAATGAGGTGATGGGGTTTGCAGGTGTGCCGCCCACCATTGTTGTTCAGTGTCTGCACAAAGGGTTTCATCATCCTGAAGGGTATGAGTATTCAGCCAAGAATGTGAAGATTGGGTCGTTGCAGATGTTTATGAAGAATGAAGGGAGTTGTGAGGATGTTGGTCCTGGTCGGTTCCCTGTGGAGGAAGTGCATAAGATCACTGTGTTGGATGTGAGAATGGCCAATGCTGATAGGCATGCTGGCAATATTTTGATCGGCAAAGGAGAGGGAGATAGTGGGGAGAACACTGTGTTGATTCCCATTGATCATGGCTATTGCTTGCCTGAGACTGTAAGCCCTTTTCTTTCATCCATTCAATCAACTTATAATTTACTTGCTCTGTTTGTTTGCATTTTATGATCTGTTAGTACATTTAGAAGAGTCATTTTTTTTTTTGCACTGGAGTTACTGAATGGCATTGCTTTTCTTGGTTTGTGATGGTGAAAATGCAGTTTGAAGATTGCACATTCGATTGGCTTTACTGGCCACAAGCAAAGCAACCCTACTCTCCGAAGGTAATCGACTACATAAACTCGCTGGACGCTGAATTCGACATCGCCCTGCTGCAATTCCATGGCTGGAACATCCCACCCCAGTGCGCACGAACCCTGCGAATCTCGACCATGCTCCTGAAGAAAGGAGTGGAGAAAGGTCTGACCCCTTTCGACATCGGGAGCATCATGTGCCGGGAGACCGTGCACAAGGAATCGGTGATTGAGGAGATCGTTCGCGAAGCTGAGGATTGCTTGATACCTGGGATGAGCGAAGCTGCATTCCTGGAAACTGTGTCTGAGATCATGGACTCCAGGCTTAGCAAGTTTAACAAATAACAACACTATGGATGGTAATGGTGGTCTTTGATCGATCTATCTATCTATCAATCTATCTCATCAGGTATATATGAATGAAAACTTTTGTTCCTTGTATGATTTGGAAGGAAGGGAAACTATATATGAGTTTCATTCCCCCTTGCAGAAGTCCATTTCGAGTTTGGACTCCATTGAAAGAAAGAAAAAGAGAAAAAAGAAGAAGTTTATGTATCAGTACCAGATATATATGTTAGATGTGGTGGTTAAAAATCAATCCAGAAGAAGAAGCAATACAAAGAATTGTTGTCTCTTTGCAGTTTAGGCAGCCAATTTCCTTGGAAGGGTAAAATGGTAGCTTTTGAGATGAGGGATCTTTGTGGGCATACATGGATTTGTAGGGGACATTTAGGGAAAAAATGATTATTGCCCCTCCTGGTGAAGGGTAGGCTATATTAAGGGTGGAATGCCACTCAGATAAAGCTGTAATCTTTAATACCAATGTTATGCAATGAATAAGAACAAATTGCAAAAAAAGAAGGGTAACATTAAGATTTAAGACAAATGTATCAATGAAATAAAATCCCAAGGAAGGTGATGCTTACTAAATGTGCTTCTAGTATGTATAGATAATAATACCCACTAACGTAATCAGATGATTACGGTAATGATATTGGATTCAATTCTCACAACTAATCATTATGAGAGCTAATATAAGCTTCCATGTAACTGTGTACTTGTAAATTCAATGGCGGCCATCAACAGATTTGTAAGCACGAATAATCTGTTCTCATGTATCTGTTCACAATCTATTGGAAAGCAAAAACAAATGGTTCCTCCGAGTTCTAACCCACAGCGAGGAAACTACGGCTACAATGGTGAAATTCCGGCACATTCTCCGTCCAATCCTTCCCGCTCTCGTCCGACCCTAAACCCGGCGTCAACGTGGGAGGCGCTGCGGTGTTCACCGGCGTCGGTGGGGGGTTCCCTGCTGTTCGGATTGGGCCGAGTGGTACGGCAGGGTACAAGGCCGGCCCGATGATGGAGATCGAGTCGAGGTGGGACGGGTTCGGGGTACTCCACTTTAGATTTTGAAGGCTACAAATCACAGATTGGACTCGAGGCTATTTTCCATCGATGACGAAGTCTATTGATTATACTCTCTATTGATGATTAAGTCCATTAAGCACCGATTTGGGCGGATTTATTCCAGGTCAATTTTTGGCAGATTCCTAAGGGGTACCATCACAGATTTCGTGCGATTTTTCTGAAATGCCATTTTCTTTCGATTCTGGAGGCTACAGATCACAGAATCAGGCCGATCCTATTCTCCATTGATAATGAAGTCTATTGTCCTATTCTCCACAGATGATAAGTCCATTAAGCACCGATTTGGGCCAATTTATTTCCGATGACATTTTCGTAATTTTTTGGGCGACGAAAGACCATTTTATTTTGGTTTTGAAGGCTACAGATCACGGATTCAGCCTGAGGCTATTCTTCAACGATTATTAAGTCCATTAAGTGCCGATTAGGGTGAATTTATTCCGGGTCCATTTTTGGCAGATTCTAAAGGGGTACCATCAAAAATTTCGGGCGATTTTTCCGAAATGCCATTTTCTTTCGTTTCTGTAGGCTGCAGATCACTGAATCAGGCCGAGCCTATTCTCCATTGATAATGAAGTCTATTAATCATATTCTCCACGGATGATAAGTCCATTAAGCACCGATTTGGGCCAATTTAGTTTTCGGATGACATTTTCGTAATTTTTTGTGCGACGAAAGGCCATTTTCTTTTGATTTTGAAGGCTACAGATCACGGATTCGGCCTGAGGCTATTCTTCAACGATGATTAAGACCATTAAGTATTGATTTGGGAGTATTTATTTCGGGTCCATTTTTGGCAGATTCCAAAGGGGTACCATCACAGATATCGGGCGATTTTTCCGAAATGCCATTTTCTTTCGATTGTGGATGCTGCAGATCACGGAATCAGGCCGAGCCTATTCACCATTGATAATGAAGTCTATTGATCCTATTCTCCACGGATGATAAGTCCATTAAGCACCGATTTGGGGCAATTTATTTCGGATGGCATTTTCGTAATTTTTTGGGCGGCGAAAGGCAATTTTCTTTTGATTTTGAAGGCTACAGATCACGGATTCGGCCTGAGGATATTCTTCAACGATGATTAAGTCCATTAAGTGCCGATTTGGGCGAATTTTTTCCGGGTCCATTTTTGGCAAATTCCAAAGGGGTACCATCACAGATTTCGGGCGATTTTTCCGAAATGCCATTTTCTTTCGATTCTGGAGGCTGCAGATCACAGAATCATGTCGAGCCTATTCTTCATTGATAATGAAGTCTATTGATCCTATTCTCGATGGATGATAATTCCATTAAGCACCGATTTGGCCCAATTTATTTCGGATGGCATTTTCGTAATTTTTTGGGCGACGAAAGGCCATTTCTTTTGATTTTGAAGGCTACAGATCACGGATTCGGCCTGAGGCTATTCTTCAACGATGATTAAGTCCATTAAGTGCCGATTTGGGTGAATTTATTTCGGGTACATTTTTGGCAGATTCCAAAGGGGTACCATAACAGATTTCGGGCGATTTTCCGCAATGCCATTTTCTTTCGATTTTGGAGGCTGCAGATCACGGAATCATGTCGAGCCTATTCTCCATTGATAATGAAGTCTATTAATCCTATTCTCCGCGGATGATAAGTCCATTAAGCACCGATTTGAGCCAATTTATTTCGGATGACATTTTCGTAATTTTTTGGGCGACGAAAGGCCATTTTCTTTTGATTTTCAAGGCTACAGATCACGGATTCGGCCTGAGGCTATTCTTCAATGATGATTAAGTCCATTAAGTGCCGATTTGGCCGAACTTATTTCCTGTCCATTTTTGGCAGATTCCAAAGGGGTACCATCACATTTTCTTTGGGTTTTGAATGCTACAGATCACGGATTTGGGCTGAGGCTATTCTTTAACGATGATTAAGTCCATTAAGTGCAGATTTGGGCGAATTTATTCCGGGTCCATTTTTGGCAGATTCCAAAGGGGTACGTACCATCACAGATTTCGGGCGATTTTTCCGAAATGCCATTTTCTTTCATTTCTGGAGGCTGCATATCACGGAATCAGGCCGATCCTATTCTCCATTGATAATGAAGTCTATTGATCCTATTCTCCACGGAAGATAAGTCCATTAAGCACCGATTTGAGCCAATTTATTTCGGATGGCATTTTCGTAATTTTTTGGGCGACGAAAGGCCTTTTTCTTTTGATTTTGAAGGCTATAGATCACGGATTCGGCCTAAGGCTATTCTTCAATGATGATTAAGTCCATTAAGTGAAGATTTGTGCGAATTTATTCCGGGTCCATTTTTTGGCAGATTCCAAAGGGGTACCATCAAAGATTTTGGGCAATTTATCTGAAATGCCATTTTCTTTCGTTTCTGGAGGCTGCAGATCACGGAATCAGGCCGAGCCTATTCTCCATTGATAATGAAGTCTATTGATCCTATTCTCCACGGATGGTAAGTCCATTATGCACCGATTGGGGCCAATTTATTTTGGATGGCATTTTCGTAATTTTTTGGACGACGAAAGGCCATTTTCTTTGGATTTTGAAGGTTACAGATCACGGATTCGGCCTGTGGCTATTCTTCAATGATGATTAAGTCCATTAAGTGAAGATTTGTACGAATTTATTCCGGGTCCATTTTTTGGCAGATTCCAAAGGGGTACCATGAAAGAATTTGGGCAATTTATCTGAAATGCCATTTTCTTTCGTTTCTGGAGGCTGCAGATCACGGAATCAGGCCGAGCCTATTCTCCATTGATAATGAAGTCTATTGATCCTATTCTCCACGGATGGTAAGTCCATTAAGCACCGATTTGGGCCAATTTATTTAGGATGACATTTTCGTATTTTTTTGGGCGACAAAAGGCCATTTTCTTTTGATTTTGAAGACTACAGATCACGGATTCAGCGTGAGGCTAATCTTCAACGATGATTAAGTCCATTAAGTGCCGATTTGGGCGAATTTATTCCGGGTCCATTTTTGGCAAATTCCAAAGGGGTACCATCACAGATTTCGGGCGATTTTTCCGAAATGCCATTTTCTTTCGTTTCTGGATGCTGCAGATCACGAAATCAGGCCGAGCCTATTCTCCATTGATAACGAACAATGCTGTGAAAGCCGAGCCGGAGTATGACTCGGTAACGTGAACGGCTCGGTATTTAGTGGTCCAGCCGGCATTAAACCGTTTAAAAATCGTTTGAGAACCGGTACATTATAAACAATATAATATCATAGTAGAACACACATAAAGTAATAATTCAATGATTTAATGAGTAAAAATAATAATTACAGGTTACCATTTAATAATTCTACACAACATATATATACAACAATTAAAAAAACCCTAACCTAATCCTAAGCGACAATGCCGCTTCCCCTCCCATCACTCTCCTTCCTTCCACTTCCCCATCCCCCCTCCCTCTCTCCTTCGTCCTCTCCCACCGCCGCACCTATTTTCATTTTTCAGCCACTATAGCCTTCTGCAATTCCTCAAAAATCCATCACCACATTCAATTCTTCCTCATCCTTTCTTAACCCGTAAATGCTCTTCCTCGTCCCAATCCGCGAAATGGCTTGGATTCAATCCAAGCCTCTGGTGAGACAGGGCAGCTTAGCGGGGTGCTGCTTGCGACGGTGGCGACGGGATGTAAGCGCCGGGAGCGGGCAGCTGCTTGCTACAACAAGGACTGGCGATGGCGATGCGATGGCGACTGGGGATGGCGATGCCGGGACAAGAGGTGTTGACGGGCGATTCCACGATTGGCCTTTTCTATTATTTTTTTTAGGGTAAACCAAACGGTCGAACCGCGCGACCGGCTTGAGCGGCTCGAGCGATTAACCGCTTCGGCCGCTTGTCGGCCGCTGTATAAAACCGTGGCGGTTAAATAGCTAATCCGAGCCGATTTTATGGCCGGGTGGCGGCTTTGGCGGTCCGGCAGGCCGGCTCGGTTCGGCTTTGACAGCACTGATAATGAAGTCTATCGATCCTATTCTCCATGGATGATAAGTCCATTAAGCACCGATTTGGGCCAATTTATTTTTGGATGGCATTTTCGTAATTTTTTGAGCGACGAAAGGCCATTTTCTTTGGGTTTTGAATGCAACAGATCACGGATTTGGGCTGAGGCTATTCTTCAACGATGATTAAGTCCATTAAGTGCAGATTTGGGCGAAGTTATTTCGGGCCCATTTTTGGCAGATTCCAAAGGGGTACGTACCATCACAGATTTCGGGCGATTTTTCCGAAATGCCATTTTCTTTCGTTTCTGGAGGCTGCAGATCATGGAATCAGGCCGAGCCTATTCTCCATTCATAATGAAGTCTATTGATCCTATTCTCCACGAATGATAAGTCCATTAAGTACCGACTTGGGCCAATTTATTTTCGGATGGCATTTTCGTAATTTTTTGGGCGACAAAAGGCCATTTTCTTTGGATTTTGAAGGCTACAGTTCACGGATTCGGCTTGAGGCTATTCTTGAACGATGATTAAGTCCATTAAGTGCAGATTTGGGCGAATTTATTCCGGGTCCATTTTTGGCAGATTCCAAAGGGGCACCATCACAGATTTCCGGCGATTTTTCCGAAATGCCATTTTCTTTCGAATCTATAGGCTGTAGATCACGGAATCAGGCCGAGCCTATCCTCCATTGATAATGAAGTCTATTGATCCTATTCTCCACGTATGATAAGTCCATTAAGCACCGAT